GAGTGGGTGTGTGGGGTTAGTTAGAGGCGGCTGCTGTCAGACCCCTGCTTGCTACGAGACCACCTACAGCAACCCTGCCATCACACGGTCTATTTTTGAACCCTCATAGACAGCATGTAATTACACAGAAGCTGCAGGCACCGAAATGCCCCATGAACATCACACTCCTCCCATTCTCTCTTTCATGTAATCGCTCCATACTGTTCCTGACCTGCAATGCTGCCTCAGCCTCTTCCAGAGCAGGCCTGGCTGCCTCCAACTTCTCTTTAGCGATGGCTTTGTCTGCAGAGATGCTGTCAACTATGGCCTGCGCTTTATCTTTGACCTTTTGAACCTCGACTTTGACCTTTTCAGCTGCCTGAGCCTTTACGGTCACCTCCTTCAACACCTGAAACAAAAATGAGAAAACGCTCAAATTGTAAAATCTGTAGCCTTTCATGCCATAATTCAGAGTATGTGGTTATTCATTTATCATCTTCATGTTTCAGAGCTCTGTATTGATCTTTAGTTAGCCTGTGACGAGGAGGCGAGTCTTTCACCTAATGGATACTTTCAAACTTTATGCAGCATGACGGTTTTCATTTAGAATACAATAGGTATGTTAAGTACTTTTACAGGGAAATTGATCTTGGATTATTTTACCATACATTAAGTTAAAGTCAAGAATGAAACAGAAGCAACATATCTTTGTTAATTACACTACCAGTCAAAAGTTTTGGATCGGTAAAATTTTAAATTTTTTAAAAATAAATCTCTTCTACTTACCAAGGCTGCATTTATTTGATTAAAAATACAGACAAATATTGAATATTATTTTCAAACTGAAATGTATTCCTGTGATCAAAACTGAATATTCAGCATACTCCAGTCTTCAGTGTCAAATTATCCTTTAGAAATCATTCTAATGTGATGCTTAAGAAACATTTCTCATAATTATCAATGTTGAAAACATTTATCTACATTTTTATTTCAGGATTCTTTGATAAATAGAATTCTAAAGCACATCATTTATCTAAAATAGAAAGCGTCTGTAACATTAAACATTACTGTTCAAAAGTTTGGGGTCAGTGAGAATGTCTATTTAATTATTATTATTATTATTATTATTTATTTATTTATTTAGGTCCATTATTTTATTCATCAAGGATGATTTAAATTAATCGAAAGTCACAGTAAATACATTTATAAGTAAATTCTGTTCTTTTAAACTCATCGAAGAATTCTGAAAAAAATTGTACAACAACTGTTTTCAACAATTATAATAATAATTCATGTTTTTTTGGACATCAAAATCCACATAGTAGAATAATTTCTGAAGGATCATGTGACACTGAAGATGGAAGTAATCATTCTGAAAATTCAGCTTTGATCATAAATTACATGTTAAAATATATTAAAATAGAAAACTGTTATTTTAAATTGACTTAATATTTAACAATATTACATTTCTTTTTGTATTTTTAATAAAAAAAAAATGCATACACTATTACAAAAGAAAGAAGTCTGTTGTTTTCACCAGAAGCTCCAGATATGATATTTTGGTTAAAAATGATCAAAAAATATATATATATAAAATTAAATGATACATTTTCATTTCATGCTGACTAAAATTAACATAGACTCACAAAGACATGCACAGCAGTCACAACAGCATCAATCAGTGCAACACAGGTCATTACAATACATTTCTCCCCATTCACACAAATAGACTAATTCACTGTAAATAATCGTAACATATTGTACAGCCCCTTGGACTAAAGTGCATCAACAACTTTAATCTTCTCCTGGGGCCACTTCAATTTTCTAACAGGAGATGGTTAACTAAAACGTACAATGGAGAGTTATCTTCTCAGCCTGTCTAATGAGAAGTTGTATCAAATGGAGAGATGTAATTAACTCTGATAATTTTTTAATGGCAGTTTTTACAAGGTGTGAAATCTTGTGATTGTAACTGATTGTATCAGTTACTGCAATTATGTGTGTTGCATATCTGATTAAAATCTGTAAGCCTGAAAGATATTCTCAAATAACTAGGGCTTTTGATCGATTAAAATTCAAATTGCATCAGCATCTTGTGCCATGAGAGCCATTGTTTAAAGAGTTTTTCAATAATATGTTTGGTGCAATCTACACAGCATCATGACACATTTGAATTTAACGTACCCCTACACTGAACCCTCCCTTAAACCTAACTGATAGTGTGAGCAAAAGTAAACATGAGATGAAAACACATGTGCTGAAGCAACCATGCCATTTTTTTCTTTTTTTTTTTTACGAGGCTTTAGTTCTTTTGGGGAGAGTCGTGATTCATGTTTCATGCCACTCATAACTCTTTTTTAATCAATTATCTGCCCCTGTAAGCATAATTTGCCTCGTGTGGCCATTTCACATATAATACGTAGTGAAATGTATGCATAGGTTTTGCACAAATGTAGGTAAAGGCCAACCCGGTCTCATCCCAAGACGTCATTTAACTGATGTTTTGGGACGTCTTTTGACCATACGTCAATATTCGCCTTTTTAGGGCCCCCTTAAACGTCGGTAGATGAGGTAATGGGATCCTAACTCTACCCCAGACCTAAACCTAACCCTAAACCTAACCCGCCACCTAACTGACGTTAAAGGTAAAGCGTCAGTTGTATGACGGCCCGGGATCGCCATCTACCGACGTTTAAGGGGGCCCTAAAAGGCGGATATTGACGTATGGTCAAAAGACGTCCCAAGACGTCAGTTATATGACTTTTTGGGATGAGACTGTGTTGTAGAGGCACATATTTGCAATGAACCTGGGTTACAACACTGTGTTCATGATAATATTTGTTATGCACAGCTAAAATTCACATATAACTTTTTGGAACTTTTTCCGCCCAGGGAGAGAGAGGGGAGCAAGATAGGAACATGAGCTGGCATACTAACTCAGTCTGCTCAAGGCTTCATATTGATGCATTGCACATAAGGCATACTGTTTTCTTTGTAGACTGCATTTTTGTTTTTGTTTTGTATACAAGAAAACTGATTCACTGTCAAAAATAAAATATTTTTTGAAAAGACTTTTTTCCCCTGCAATATATCTATTTTTTTTATAAAATGTACAAAGCTATGGCCAGTTCCACAACCCATTAAGCATCGATCAGTCAGTCTAGGAACACATACAAACAACCTACAGTACAAAACGTCTCGGGTTATGACTATAACCCTTGTTCCCTGAGAAGGGAACGAGACACTGCGTCGATAAAATCGACTCTTTGGGGACGCTCCCTAAGCGTGCGCCTCTGAAGTATGAATGAAACTAATCCAATCCTGATTGGTGTTGCGTCGTGACGTAACATGTGACGGCATACCCGGAAGTATAAAAGTGACGCTGTCACAACACACACTAGCCTCGCGATGAAGCAAGACGCTCAAGGGTCTAAAAAAGGGGCGTGGCAACACGACGCAGTGTCTCGTTCCCTTCTCAGGGAACAAGGGTTATAGTCATAACCCGAGACGTTCCCTATCGAGGGAACTCAACACTGCGTCGATAAAATCGACTCTTTGGGGAATGAGTACCCACTAGGCCACGCACCGAACAGACCCGCCCCAGAGTGAAACTGATTAGGCCTCAGCAAGGGCCGAGTACGTGTGCACCGGGCGTACTGGGAAGGTTGAGACTATAAAACCTGATGAAAGTATGCGGGGTAGCCCAGCCGGCTGCCTCACAAATCTCCTGCAGAGGTACTCCCGACAGAAGGGCCCTAGAGGAAGCCATGCCTCTAGTCGAGTGAGCCCTCAAGGCCAAAGGTGAAGGAACCCCGCGCACCTTGTAAGCCTCAGTAATAGCCTGGACAATCCAGTTACTTATAGTTTGTTTGGTCGCCGGGAGCCCCCTCTTAGGTGACCCAAAGCATACTAACAACTGGTCCGATCTTCTCCAAGAAGCAGACTTTTCCAGGTATACACTCAAAGCTCTGACGGGGCAGAGCAAGTGAAGCCTCTCTTCTTCCGCCGACACATGAGGTGGAGGATGGAATGCCTGAAGGACTACAGAGCGAGCCGTACTCGAAGGAACTTTAGGCACGTAGCCCGGACTCGGGTGCAAAAAGGCCTTTACTTTGCCAGGGGCAAACTCCAAGCAAGCTGGCGTTACCGCCAGGGCCTGGAGATCTCCCACCCTCTTAAGAGAGGTAATCGCTAAGAGAAAGACCATTTTTAGCGTTAAGTCCTTAGGCGAAGCCGACTCTAAAGGTTCGAAGGGAGCGAGGGACAACCCTTCCAGAACTATCGCCAGGTCCCAGGCAGGAACCCTGGACCTGGTCGCCGGCCTCATCCTCCAAGCACCACGGAGAAACCTAATGACCAATTGGTGCCTCCCCAGAGGTCCACCATCTACTGGCGCGTGGAAAGCCGAAACGGCAGCCACGTACACCTTAAGAGTGGACGGGGAGAGACCCGCAGAGAAACGATCCTGAAGGAATTCCAGAACTGAAGCCACTGGGCAGTTTACTGGATCCAACCTTCGTTCTCCACACCAAGTGTGAAACACCTTCCACTTGAGGCCATATAATCTCCTGGTAGATGGGGCCCTAGAGCTAAGTATGGTTTCAACCACCTCAGCTGATAAGCCAGCATTCAGGTACTGAACCCCCTCAGAGGCCAGACCCACAGCTTCCACAACTCTGGGCGAGGGTGGAAGATTGTGCCCTCCGCCTGAGACAATAGATCCCTCCTCAGAGGAATCGGCCACGGCGGAGCTATGAGGAGTGATATTATATCCGAGAACCATACTCGTGTCGGCCATCTCGGAGCAACCAGAAGTAGACTGATGCCCTCTTGACGGACCCTCTCCAGGACCCCTGGGAGCAGAGCGATCGGGGGAAAAGCATACAGGCGAAGCTTCGGCCAAGCCTGTACCATGGCATCCAACCCCAGCGGGGCTGGATGTGAGAGGGAGAACCAAAGTGGACAGTGGGACGTCTCTCGAGACGCAAACAGATCCACTTCCATCGGTCCGAACCTCTCCCATATCGACTTCACCACCTCCGGATGAAGTCTCCATTCCCCGGGCCTCAGCCCCTGCCTCGACAGGATGTCTGCTCCCCGATTCTGAACCCCTGGGATATACATTGCCCTTATTGACAATATCTTCCCCTGGGACCAAAGGATAATCTGATGCGCCAGTCTGCACAGAGGGCGCGATCTGAGTCCCCCTTGTCGGTTCAGATAGGCCACCACTGACGTATTGTCCGTCCGTATTAGGACGTGGCGACCCTTGAGGTCTGGGAGGAAGCTCCTCAAAGCCCTGAACACAGCCATCATTTCCAGGCAATTTATGTGCCAAGTGCGATGATGGTCCTGCCACAGACCCCTGGCAAAGCGGCCGTCCATGACCGCGCCCCAGCCAGTAAGGGAGGCGTCTGTCGAAACGGTTTCCCGGCGACATGACACCCCCAACACTGGCCCTTGGGATAGGAACCAAGGCTTCTTCCATATTTGCAGAGACTGAAGGCACTTGCGCGTTACTCTGATCATACGGAACGGATTCCCTTTGGGTGAGAACCCCTTGGTCTTCAACCACCACTGGAGGGGCCTCATGTGAAGGAGGCCCAGAGGAATAATGTTGGATGCCGCTGCCATGAGGCCCAGCATCCTTTGAAAGTGTTTCACAGTGACGGCCTGGCCTAGCTTCACCCTGGATACCATCGCCAGAATTGACTCGATACGTGCGGGAGACATACGTGCCTGCATTGTAACCGAGTTCCACACGACTCCCAAAAAGGTCGTGCCCTGGACGGTACTAGCACACTCTTCTTCAAATTGAGTCTTAACCCCAATTTTTGAATATGGCCAAGAACGACATCTCGATGCCGAACTGCCATCTCCCGAGACTGGGCCAGAATAAGCCAGTCGTCGAGATAATTCAATACCCGAATCCCCTGAAGTCTCAATGGAGCAAGGGCCACGTCCATACACTTGGTAAATGTGCGGGGAGAGAGTGCTAGGCCGAACGGAAGAACCCGATATTGGTATGCTTCGCCCCCGAAAGCGAACCTCAGGTACCTCCTGTGACATGGAAGGATGGAGATGTGAAAATAGGCGTCTTTCAGATCTATCGTGACAAACCAGTCCTCGGACCTGATTTGATTCACGATTGTTGGAATGGTCAGCATTCTGAATTTGAACCTTCTCAGAGACCGGTTCAACACCCTGAGATCCAAAATTGGCCTTAACCCCCCATCCTTCTTTGGAACTATAAAGTACCGGCTGTAAAACCCGGACTCCCTGTCTACCGGAAGAACACGTTCTATGGCTCCTTTCGACAGCAGAGTCTGTACTTCTTGTTCCAGCACCTGAGCCTGCTCTGGGACCACCGCAGTGAGCACCACCCCAGAAAACTTGGGGGGCGGTGCGCGAACTGCAGTCTGTACCCAACTCGTATTATCTGCAGGACCCATGGAGATATGTTGGGAAGATGATACCATCCCTCTACAAAATCTACTAAGGGTACCAGCCTCTCGAGGCTGGCCTCTGGTGTCTTCAGGGTATTCTCTTCGACTACCTGAAGCTGAATATTGGCAGGCTGTAGTCGATTCGGTCCCTGCGACCATAACCGATGTTTTAAAATCGTCTTTTCGCTGGAAATTGATGCGGCCCGAAACGCTGTTAACGGCGGACCTGCATCTTTTCCTAGAGGGCCCCGCTGCGAGAACAACCTCGGTTGTCTCACTGCGGAGGGGGCAGCCCTCTGAAGTCCTGCCGTGGCTAGGACCTCTTTTCCGAAGTCCTCCTAGCCTGAATGACGTCCCTCAGGTCGCCCCTCTGGCCGGAGGACTTCGGTTTTTGGGAGCGTTTCCTCTGTTGCCAAGACCCCGGAGGGGGGGCTCTAGAGGAAACGCTCTCCTTCTGCTCTGCCCTATGGGAGGAGCTGGCTGATGGCTGGGGCTGATCGCTTTGCCCCACCCTACTAGATTTGGCCTTCGCTTTCCGGGGGAGGTACTGCTGGAACGCCGCAGATTGTTTCCTCGACTCCTGAAACCTGTCGACAACCGAATTAACGGCGTCGCCGAACAGGCCAGAAGCCGAAAGCGGCGCATCCAGCAGGAAGGACCTATCCTTTTCTTTAATTCCAGATAAGTTCAGCCACAGATGCCTCTCCGTGGCCACCATGGCCGCCATAGAGCGGCCAATAGCGCTGGCTGCTTCCCTAGTGGCCCGGAGAGACAAATCTGCGGCCTTCCTCAACTCCGCGATGTCCTCAGGAGTAGGCCCCTCCCCCTCATCCAAATCTTTCAGGAGGTCGGCCTGGTATGCCTGCAAAATCGCCATCGAGTGCAGACATGAACCAGCCCGACCCGCCGCCATGTAAGCCCTGCCCACTAATGCAGATGTTTCCCTGCAGGGCTTACTAGGCAACACCGGGGTCTTTAGGGAAGACGCCGATTCGGGAGAGAGATAGCTCGCTAAAGCCTCCTCCACCTTCGGCATCTTCCCATATCCCATATCTCGAGCCCCCACAACATTGCTGTAATCTATTATACTGGGACTCGAAATACGGGACGAATGCGGTCTTTCCCACGATCTCGCGATCTCTTTATGGAGATCGGGGAAAAACGGCAGACCCCGGCGGTGAGGCTGTGACCTGCGCTGCAGGTAACGCTCGTCCATTTTACTTGTGACTTGCGTTTCCTGCTCATGTTGTGGCCAGCTGATGTTTAATCTGGCCACAGCGCGCGTCACAACCTCCACCAGCTCCTCATAATTCAGGCCGCGTGATGGCGCGCTGAGATCACGGTCGTCCGCATCAATGCTGAGCACGTCCACTTCCTCAGAAGCAGACAGCTCAAGCATCGGGACCTGATCGCGGGCAGGAGAAACCGCAGCGCGGGCTCCCACACCACTCTCAGAGGCCGCGGGATCAGCCGATGGAGAGCGAGAAAATGCCTCAGCATTCTCACTCTCCTCCGCCAGATCCCGCTGCGAACCCCAGGATCTCAGTCGCCGCATCGCCTCGACAAATGCGGGACCGGAACCCTGGGGAACGCGAGCCTGACCGTGCTCGTCAAAGCACGCCAGCCGGGAGCGCAGCACTCTAATAGGCATAGCCTCACACATTTCACAAGCAGCCCCCTCGAGAGCTGCCCGTGCGTGCTGCACTCCCAAACAATTCACACAAAGAGAGTGTGCGTCCCCACCCGTGATGTAACGAGGGCAGGGATGCACACACTTCTTGAACTGCTCACTGGCCATTCTTTTCAATAATAAGACAAACAACACCAAATAAGACAAACAGTTTCAACATAAAGCGCTTGCTGAAGAGCGAAAAGCTAGTGTGTGTTGTGACAGCGTCACTTTTATACTTCCGGGTATGCCGTCACATGTTACGTCACGACGCAACACCAATCAGGATTGGATTAGTTTCATTCATACTTCAGAGGCGCACGCTTAGGGAGCGTCCCCAAAGAGTCGATTTTATCGACGCAGTGTTGAGTTCCCTCGATAGGGAACTGGTGCCTCTGAGTGTGAAAATCAATATCAGCATGAAAACTTTAAAAGGTTTGTGGAAAAAACTAATGTTTTATTAACAAAGTTCAGGAGGAGCACGTTCAGATCATTAACATGAGTGGAGAGCGAACAACAATCAACGATAAGAGGTGTATATACCGTATATTCAGAAGTCTAACCTCAATTCGTTAACATTTTAGCAGCATCCCTTCACCACCCTATTCTCCACTCCTCTAGTCCTAACCATTTACATAGCCTCGCTACATACCCTCGGACAGCACGCCAAATACTCATTAAACTTTACTCCCTCTAATTGTATGTAAGTGTGAACTTGTGAAACTAGTGCAGGCATGTGAAACTTTTGTACTGCAAATGTTCGTTGCATCCCTAATCAAACACATCTGCCTGTAATTTTCAAACAATCCAGAAGTTTGGTTAGATTTTTTTAGGTGTATTTTATTAAATATGGAGCTAAACTGTGCAGGACAGTGCTCCCCATCCCTGATCTAACCAGGACTTGTACGCTTAAGGTGAGCATGCAGTCAATCTCCACAAGATGACCTGCACAATAGGTTGTAAATAACTATAGGCCAACCTGTATAGCCTCTTTTAGGGAAGTGTTTTGTCCACAGGACACAAACATGTCAATATCTAAGTAATAAACTGTGGTACTCTTGCCCATGTAGAACAAACCAAGAAGTGAAATATTACCTGCAAATTTCATTTTTAGGATGATGACTCAAGCTATCAATCTAGTTTCCGAGGGGCGCTCCTGTAAAAAATAAAGTGGGTGAAACTTCCGGTGATGCGGCGGAAGTAGCATTCCAATGGTATTTTGTGTGTTAGTTAGCGAAGAGGCTAGCTGTTTTTCGGAGAATTATTTTGCTATTTAAAGACGCAAATCTTTATGAGAGATGTCGTTACGGAGCTCAGGGACAACATGTGCTGTTCGCGGTTGTATGTATAACCGGACTAAACTAATTTAGTGGCTTAAACGGGATTGTTTTGAACAGCTGAAAACGAAATCAGAGTGATCCTGCCAACGACTTTTCCATCACCTCCCAAAAGACGACGAATCTTCCTGTGTACATTTGTTTAAATTCTTAATGTTCTATAAACTCTATCAGCATGTGTTTGGCTGTTCGCTACTGATACAGCTAAAGTCAGGATCAAAGCCTGTGTTGACAGAATACCAAATGTGCCAGTTAATGTATTCAAGCAGCACATTCATTTATAATTTTGAATAAACTCCAAAGCACAATGACTAAGTCTGTATTTTTTATTTTAATTGTTTGTCAGCTCGCACAACTGTCTGTCAACATGCCTTGATGAGTATTGATTAATAATAATGTTAATAATACTCCCAATCAACTACTGCGGAGGGTAAAGGTACTGTTATTTCACCCTTTTGAATTTTGTTGAGGTTGTGTTCCCACATCGTTAGCTGGTTTGGATCTCTATAACTTGAATGACTGTCAACTGTTGAATGAACGAGTGTCAAGCATGTCAAATCGCGCTTTGTTTACTTTCAACCGGAAGTCGCGCCCACTTTTGACGCAAGGCCTCATGGGGCGTAGGAAACTTGTGGATAGTGAAGTGAACAGGGAGCTGCAACACCCTGAGGGGCCTCTGTACAAACTGACCTGGGCTTTGAGAGAGTTTTGTTGACCTTTCCCATCTAACTATGTTTAGAAGTATATAAATACCGTTTTGAAATAGAATGAATTGGAAATGATATTTAGGGAGACAATTATCTGGGTCTGGGAGGCAATGATCAACAAATGCATACATTCTACATGCTTATTTACCATATCAGCCTTCTCGTTGGCTATCTGAAGTTCTTTCTCCTTCACCTCCAGCTCTTTGCTGAGGGCAGCAACAGACTCAGAGGCCTCCTTGAGTTTCTGGAGGCCGGTGTTCATCCTAATAAAACAATACACTCGGATTTAAAGTCTATAATACATGGTTGCAGACTCCACATCACTATTTACAGAAAGTCAGAAGGGAATCCACTATGAATGAATTCCACCTGCTGATAATGCTGTTTATTTGCACGCACTGTTTGAGTCATTTTAGCTCACGGTTCAACAAATGAATTATGCAAATCATGAAACAATACAAATGCACTCGCAAAATCTTTCAGTGGGTTGTACAGCAGATTGCTGCAACATGGCATACTTTGCAGACATTTTACATTATCAATCCACAACACCCAATATATCATCTGCTTTCCATGGTCAATGATACTACAGAAATTATTCAAGGCAAATAATGCTGTGTTTTGAATAAGGTAGAATTTATAGTTTAGTTTACATAGAAAGGTGCCATGTTTGGACATAAAGGATTAGCAATGACTTTATTCAAATACACAGTGCAGCACTATTTCAACACCAGGTTTATCACCTGGTTATTTATTTATTTATTTATTTACTGAAATAGAGTACACAAAATCCTTAAGTGAATTTGTCCCTTGGTGTCAGAACATGATGCAATATATTTATAGCTTTTCCTTATTGATTTATGCTCTCATTTTGTAGTTTTGCTCATACCGACCTTTCAGCGAGAGTCTGAACCTCTGAGTGCTTCTCTTTGTAGATGGTCTTGTAGTCGTGGATAAAGGACAGGTAGGATTTGGGTGTGACATGTGTTGAACGTCGGTAACGCTGAAAATAATCTGCACACTTTTCTGCCACCCCATCCTGAAAAGAGCCCATGCACTGAACCACTTCCCCCTTTACCTCAGGAGAGCAGTCTATGTCATACCTGGACAGGAAGTGTTCTGACACTGAGGGAAAAATAAACAAAAAGATATTTGTATTATTTCTTTGCACAATACACAAATAAGCTGTTTATCTAGCAATAGACACAGTCACGATCTTTTGCAACGACTGATTGCTGTGATGCTTTTCTTGATAGTCTCTCAATACATTCTTTAAAATTATTGCCACGATATGAGCTGTTCTCCAAAATATGCTAGGTTTAAATTGTTTGTGTAACAGTGTGTGATATTCCCAAATAGTTTATTTCTCTGCATTGAAATGTAGACATGCAGATTTACTTGGACAATAAATCATGGTGGTTATTTTCAGATTATAAACATTATAAGACCTTAGTTTCAGGGTTGATTTTTGCAGCTTCAGCGGCTAGACCTTGTTAAAAAGATTGCTGGGTCTCCACTGTCAGTCATTCAAAGGTAGTCATGTATTCTAAGTAACATGGAAATCACAAAAAGGGCTTTTTTTTGTAGCAAATGCTTCAATAGTACCGATTTTTAAAAGCTCCTAATCTTTCTCTAGTTGTTTTCCTTCCTGCAAGAAGTTCTAATATAGAACAGTTTAATATTAGAGTTCAATTGTTCAATAACAGTCACTTTGAATTTACAGTGATGGATTAAAAAATATCTGGAACTGAGTGCACATGAAGCAAAGGGTTCAAACTCGGCCAAAACTATTTAGAACAGTGGGGAAAATATTGGTAGTTTGTCAATCCAATCCATCTAGGTAGTGTACGCTCCATTCTAGTTTTTGTTGATTCACATTTCCTCACGGCCACGAGGTAATTTTGATTAAGGCATCAGAATCAGCACCAGGTTTTAGGGTTCCTCCAGGATATATTTGACCTCCTTGGGTCTAATATTACAAATTACTGACCTGCGATCAGAGCATCTTTGGGCCAGCGGCTAAACCAGTCCATGGTGCATCCCGAAATAAGAGCAGGGAACTTCAAAGCTCGATTACGGAACCTCTCCCCAACTGGAGAGAAGCACAGAACCACGTGAAGATTCTGTCTCACTCTGCTCATAAAATAATCATATAGGTTTTCATTCGTGGGTGGTCGCCGTGGAAACTCGCGCTTCATGACTGGAATGAGGTCGCTGATAATCTCGTCAATCTCATCTCGAGCAAACAGATTGGACACCTGTGGCAGAGAGAATATTTCACACCTCATTAGATTAAACCTAGCATTGGTTTCACAGGGAATTTACGACAAATGTACAATCATGACATAATGACACACCTGAGGGGACAAAATTACTCCTTCAAGGAAGGGAATACGTTTAAATGTTTTTAGCCATTCTCTGAATCACTTAAGGGTTAGTTCACCCAAAGATAAAAATTTCAGTTGTCGTTTATTCATACTCGAAGCATTCCAAACCCGTATGACTTTCTTTCTTGGACCACAAAGACATTATAAAGACTGCACTTTTTTACAATAAAAGCATATTGCTTATTTTCTGGATGTCAATGATGATAGCACACTGTAAAAAAAATATTGATGGTTTAACTTAAAGTAAGTAACCTGGTTGCCTTAAAATTTTAAGTTCATTGAACTGGAAAAAGTGAGTTAATACAATGGAGATTAATTTAACCATCAGAGACTCAAAATGATATGTTATCTGAACTAAATAAATTATTTAAGTTGATTTGACAAAAGAAAAAATGTTGTGATTACTACACTGTAACATTTTTTTGTTGGTTTAACTTAAAAAAGTAAGTAACCTGGGTTGCCTTAAAATTTTAAGTTGATTGAACTGGAAAAAGTGAGTTAATACAATGAAGTAGATTAATTTAACCATCAGAAACTCAAAATAATAAGTTATCTCAACTAAATAAATTATTATAAAGTTGATTTGACAAAAGAAAATATGTTGTGATAACAAATTTGTATGCCATCCGAGGTGAGGGCCCCGAGCTCGGAATTTAGTCCTAACCCAGATTGCTACCCCCATCTTTGAGTGAAACGGAAACAAGCCAAGAGTGAGGTGTTGGTGTTATAGAAGGGATACTACAAAACTGTCACTGGACAAAGGACCCTTTAGCTACGGTATATATGCAGGCCTCTTACGCAGATTGGTTCCTCCCAAACTTTGTCAAATCAGCAATTAGAAATTCTTTTTCAATTAGAAAAACTATAACTAATGATAGAATTACAGTGTGGTTCAATACCTAATACCACTATAGTTAAATTAGCAAAACAGAAAATAGGAGAAAAATTATAATTTGAGTGAAAAGTTAGACTGAAAATTGATTTCATGAAAATGAAATCCTCCGTTTACTTAATTAGCAGCATCACTTGAACTATTCCAGTATGATTTGAGAATGTTCCAAGGAGCTTTTTGTGTTGATTTTTTATTTATTTTTTATTTTTTTGGATTGGTGACACACAAGATCGTGCACACAAGATAGTTTCTTCTGCATACGCGAAACATTCTTGTGAGCACGAGATATGTTTCTCGTGAGAATGTGAAAATCTGCGTGTGAGGGGCTCCGTAGTTTTACATTTACAGAAACACCTAAACATATTGATTTCCTGGCTCAAATTACATATTGAATCCCATATTTTCAATGTAGTCTGATACTCCTCCACTATATAAGACAATGCTATTTTATTATAACAGTCTACAACAGTCTGTCAGAAGGACTACAAATGGATTAGTGCATGAGTGGAACCAGGCAATATTTCACTTAAGTTTGGCCACACAGTCCTCCTGCTGCATGACACAGTACCACACTCTAAAGGCCCGTACACACCGGGACGAATATCAGCGCGCGTTATTCGTCAGCGTTTTTCAACGCGTTTTTGTGTTCACACCCAAGCGTTTTTCGCTGACGATGAGCCGAGTGAACATGCAAATTCATTCCCTGACATTAGATGGCGCTTAATGTAAAACAGAAATAATAATAGAATACTATACTAGGTTGATCATATTCATGTCTCAATGTTTTATTATGACAAATAGAAAAAAACGAATGAAATAATGATAGAAATAATGTCTTCTGTATTAGAAAAATATATAAATAATAAATAACTAAAAGAAATGCCTCCAAATGTAACAAAAAATAGCTTTCGGAAACTTACAAAAACGACCTAACAAAATCTATTTATATCTTTAGTTTTCATTCTCTTTATCTTGTTTTTCTTCCTCGTCCACCTTGTTTGCCCATCTATATTTTGCTGTAGGACTGATCTTTCCCAGCAGTTTTTTTGAGAACCAGGACATTTTCATCACTTGGAACGGGACGTGGAAACAGGACATGTGTAACACAAAGTTGAGATGTTGCCCAGAGATAAAAACATAGCCGTTGTCGGATGCACGAGAGACGAGAGTTGTCGTATTTCCCCGCGTTTAATAAAACCACTCAAACGTCACACTCGTCCTCCTCATACATTGGGATCGAGCGAGAAAAAAAAAAACACAAACAAACATCTGGTCACAATAGAAAAATAAAATAAAAGAAAGAATACAAAGAGTCGGCAGAGCGGTTCTCCTCTCCTCACTTGTCAAAATCTAACTGACATTACGCACACTATATGCGCAGTTCTCATCTCAGCTCAGATTTCTATAAAGCACAAAGTGACCGTTTTACACATGTCCCGGGAAAACAGGACTGTTGGTCACCCTATACTATACTATTATTACAGAAATACTAATATAAATATTATCATATAGCTCTTTATGCTCCGAGACCAGCAGCTCAACATTCATCTTGCCCATAGGTATCTTGTCTCTTCTTCGCTATGTGTGCTCGGCAAGACTGTTTTGTGTTTAAGCGCCCTCAAGTTGTGTTTTACTGTAACTTCAGAAGTACCAGACACGTGAGCAAACCCGCCAATCTCGTTGGTCGGATAGGTTTTGACGCGGCGCGTCAAACCAAAAAAACGAACCCGAGGCGTTTTTTTAAAAATGACGCTTTTACGCGTGGCGTTTTTCGCGTCGGTGTGAACACTCACATTGGCGCCCATTGTTTAGTCACGAGGCGTTAAACGTCGACGAATAACGCGCGCGAAATTCGTCACCGGTGTGAACAGGCCTTTATTCTCACGGAAATACAGCAAAAATTATATCAAAATGTTGGAGTCTGTCTAGTCATGTCTCTTAACAGAATTGTGGATAATAACTTGTACTAAACTCCATTTGTTATTTCATCTGTCTTCCACATTATCAGTTTTCAAACTAAACCCTGAAATCTTTAGTATAACTAAGGGCTGGTGTGTTTCATTAATATTCTTGAGCAGAGCTCTTGAGTGCTCCTTCTCCTCTCCAGTCAATTCTCTTTATGTACTTAACAACATGATTAATGAAATAACAACCTTCACCAAATCTGGCTGACCAAAAACCTTTCTAAGACTGTATGGCAGCTCTAAAACCCTCAAGAGGTGCACCCTGCGGTTAAATTATAGCCATTTATTCTCAAACCCCTTTATTTATTCAGGGATAGTGAGAAAGACACATTGGAATATAGTGTTAATTAAACACATTCTTCTTCATAGTGCTTATTAGGGCCTAGTACTAACTGTGTGAGGCCCTATTGAAACTGTTGGGATTATTTTATTTTATTTTATTTTCAACCTACATGCACGAAATTTTGTGGGGACGTGTATCATATCAAGACACACAAAAAAGCCTCAAGAACCCATACCCTAAACTCGACAGGAAGTCGGCCATTTTGAAATTGGTGGCCATTTTGGGACGATTTACACACTCCGTACGTTAACAAACTCCTCCTAGGGATTTAGTCGGATCGACTTCAAATTTCTGCTGTGCCTTCTAAAGGCATTGACTAAGTTGTGCTATCTGCGCGTTTTCGTCGAAGGGCGTGTCCGTGGCGTCGATGATTCGCCATGAAACAGGAAGTTGTAGTAACTTGGCTGTAAATGCCCAGATCTGCACGAAATTTTACACATTTGACAACAGTCCCGCCATGAACAAATCTACATGCCGACATTCACCCACAGTCATAGCGCCACCTAGTGGAAACAGGAAGTGGCCTTTAACGAAGCAGCCCCCGCCGCATGTTTGACCGACATGTACGAAATTTCTGTGGTACAACTAGATGCCCTAAACTCAACAGGAAGTCGGCCATTTCTAATTTTACCGCCATTTTTGGATGATTTACACACTCCGTACTTTAACAAACTCCTTCTAGGGATTTAGTAGGATCGACTTCAAATTTCTGCTGTGCCTTCTAACGGCATTGACGATGTAAAGTTGTGCTATCTGCGCGTTTTCGTCGATGGGCGTGTCCGTGGCGTCGATGATTCGCCATGAAACAGGAAGTTGTAGTAACTGGGCTGTAAATGCCCAGATCTGCACGAAATTTTAAACATGTGACAAGAGTCCCACCATGAACAAATCTACATGCCGACATTCACCCACAGTCATAGCGCCACCTAGTGGAAACAGGAAGTGGCCTTTAACGAAGCAGCCCCCGCCGCATGTTTGACCGACATGTACGAAATTTCTGTGGTACAACTACCATGTCCAGACGCAAAGAAAAGTCTCTTGGAGCGATGCCCTAAACTCAACAGGAAGTCGGCCATTTCTAATTCTACCGCCATTTTTGGATGATTTACACACTCCGTACTTTAACAAACTCCTCCTAGGGATTTAGTAGGATCGACTTCAAATTTCTGCTGTGCCTTCTAAAGGCTTTGACGATGAAAAGTTGTGCTAAACAATTATCTCCACATGTACATATAATGCATCACATGAGGTAAAAATGGAAGCTCAAACTTGTACCTTGTGGGTTTGGAACAATGTGGTGGTGAGTAAATGACAACAGAAATATTCTTGGAAAAGTTTCCTGAAGTGCCCTGTCTCTTTCAATAATGTAATCTAAAAAAACATTTTGTCTATCCAACTCATCCCCCTGTCTTCAGCTCTTTCCCCTGAGGTGCAGTCATGTTAATGCAACACATCCCCAGTGCTACTCCATGGTTTCAGTGTGATGCATGGACTCCACAACATGTCATATTGCAGGATGCATTAGCTGCTATTTCTTCCCCCTTTGACAAACCCATCTGTCTTCCTAATATGAAGCAATGCATCTCGGGCCTTACAGATCCCATTTATTTGTGTGTCATTACCACACAGAATGAGCTCTGTAATTTGTCAGAGGACAAGGCAACATGCTCCCTTTGTTTATTTTCATTACAGCACCTCGGGAAATCTGACTTATTTGCAGTGACATAAAGGTTGAGTTATAGGGGGCATACGCTGTAACCGTGGAAACATGTAGTAGGCTTATTTTACCATGTGTTCTAAAAACATCATGGAACGGCTCAGAAATGGAGGCTGTGGGGCTTGTGGGTAAGGGTGTTTCTATAAGCATGATGTCAGAACGGTTGTCTAACCTCTCCTGATGAAAGGACGTTGTTCATGTACTCCAGGAAGGATTCCTCCTTGATCTCATTGTCAGTGAAAATAAAGCTGATGCCTTTGCCCTGTTGTCCTGCAGTTCTGTACAGGCCCTTCAGGTCCTCCATCAGGTTGGGGGTGTTGTAGGAACTAGAGAAAACACCAAACAGAGGTTCGCAAACCATAGCAAGTTTGTGAGTTGATAAAAATAGAACACTTAGTAAAAATATCATATTTGTTTGCCTGCAATTTAAGAACCATGAACATACAAATGTGTTGTTAAATGATCAGTTAAATTCAATTTTTGTGTGTGTGTGTGTGATTTGAAACTATTATAATCCTATAATATTGCTATAAAGCCTACTCATCCTCAATTTTAGATTTGATTGCCCTTTTCTTCTTGGTATTCTTTCATGGCCTATAACTGTATTCATTTTTTTGAACACATGAAACAAATCAAAATGCTACTGTTGTCAATGTCCTTTGGAAATACCCTTTTAATTGCAATGTTTTGTGAGTGTGTGTGTGTGTGTTTTCTGTACAGCGAGAAAATAAACAAAACTGATATGTTGCCATTTCGCAACTGTACCAACGAGAGTTATGGAATTGGGTGTGAAATGACTGCCTGGATACAGAGAATTGCGAGCAGCTTGTGTTTTGAAGGCAATAATGTAAAATCCGTCTGTTTTCTCTGGAGACTCTCACACAGTTTGAGATCAACACTAGATTCTTTCATATTATTATCAAATATAAGCTGCAATGAAAATCTCCAAATATGTCAAACTGGCTTGTTGACTGGCTGTCATCACACAGCAAACGAAGAAGAGCACTGTGGAATTGCAGGTGGCTACAGGCAAAACCTTCCATTCCTTTAGAAAACAATTCCCTCCAAATCACCCTCCGAGTCTAAAAGAAGCCAATATATAAAAAGACTCACTTGGCAGATGGCTATCCGTCTTTCTACAGACTTTAACGATTAGCAGGTATTTCCTGTTTAAATTTTAGTACTGAATTATCAGTACTATTGGAAGTCAATGGTCTGAATTGAAAATGTCCAGTCTCATTGTCTGAATCAGACTGAACAGTTGATTGGATATGGGATCTTTCCGCTTTACAGTCTGCAAAAGCAGAGCTAAATTGAAAAGGGGAGGCCAGAACACTCTTATACACAGATACCATCTACAGGAATACGACTAAAGTGCATTACACAAGAAAATGTGCTTTATGACTTTTGACATTTACAGAAAGGAAAACAAAGGCACTGCTATTACAGTGATACATGTTTATTACAGTGCTATGCACGTGTTATTAACTAAGTTATTACTATGTAATTTAAAATGGCCCATTGTTAAGATGGTCTAGTGAAGATAGCCTTTGTAAATACCATCTGTGATGATGTAGAAATTAAAGTTTAATGCAAATTTTGCATTATCTAGTACTTAAACAATAGGACACAGATTAAATTTCATCTGTCTCCCTGAAGGGGAAAAGTGAATTTGAATAAAGAGGCTATGAATTATTGAGTATGCGAAGGTGACTCACCGAGTGAGTGTAATCTGAAAAGTTTTGTAGCCAGCGATAAAAGACGCTAGTCTTGTCAGACTTTGTTTTCCAGAACCACCTACACCGACCAGGAGGGCATTTCCCCGAGGGGTCCTGATGATCCGAGAAATCTGGGGAAAGAGAGTGTAAGAGAGAGCAAGACAGATGCCACCTCATTACCATGCAAAACGTTTATACACACACTTTGCATAAAGAAACTCAGAGCACCTGCTTGTACTCTTCGACATGTCTGTCTCATGTTGTCAGCACAGACAGTGAACTGGAATAAATCAAAATTACTTGAGAGCGCTACATTTATTATTCTCTTTCATGATAGAAGGATGCTGATAGCCTATAGCAAGGTTATTCTTTTCAACAAACACAGATGAATTGTCGAAATCGTTTTTGAGCCCTGAAAATGTTCTCATGATAACAAGGGAAGGATAACCAAACTGGCCAGGGGTTGGCCCTGATGATAACATTCAAGCAATACAGAAAAACAAGAACCATTAGTGTAATATGATATTCTATGTACCTTAACCAGATGAATCATGGCATCCCTGAAGAAAACCATATCCATGCCTGCTCCTCTGATGCTCTCATTGTAATGATTTAAAAACATGTTCAGCCGCTCCATTAGACTATCAAAAGATTTGATAGGCTCGTATACTTTTGGCATGTCGAAATCAGTTTCCTCTGGCTCCTCACCTGTTCGGATATAAAACAACACAAAAATCCTAGATTTCATTCCAATTCAGATGAGAAACTGCCAATAAACTCTCTATTGCACAATATTTGGGCAGGTCCTTTATAGGTATGTTTAAAGTAACTTTAAGGATGGTTAGTTAATTTGTCATAGCTGTCAACATTGAACATTGAAAATAAGGGAGTTTTCCCGGAATCAATCCCCAAAATAAGGGATTTTTTTTACACGATTCTTACCCACAAACTTTAAAAATAAAGCACTAATCCTTAAAAGTCTAAAGGGTTTATAACTAGCCTAGAAATAGTGTGTAATTTAAAGAAAAAAAAAATCTACAATTGGATTAGCGGTGTGTTGCTCTTGCCTTTACGACAACAATTTCATCTGTTAGCCATCACATCTTCCACAATCCGGGTGGGCTGTCTGTTTATTTCAATTACATTTTGTGTTTAAAGAGCCTATATTTAGCCTGGTCGTGGACCATCTCTCAGAAGACACTGTTGTTATTGTAGCCTATCCTATCTTTACCTGTATTTTTTTTCAAAAGTTTTTTTTTTTCTTCTTGATGTAATCACATTGTTAAGAGCATAAGAAACAAATGAAAAAAAGAAATGATATTTTATTCATATACTATATGACATTAAATTATATATAGGCAAAAACTAATGGCAATATTTGAATATCGATTATTATAATTATTATTTGTTTAAATTACATTGATATCTGAATTTAGGTAAAAACCTTGAATTTCAAACATCAAAATGTAAAATGTAGGCTATTCGAGTACAAAATGACATATAAACATCGTTTCTTATTTCTTATTTATTTATTTATTTGCCTGGAAACGCTTTCAACACGCTTGCGTGTCGCGTGAAAAATAGGCGTCAGTTCAATTTCTAGCATGCACGCGTTTTCTGGAGAAGCGCGTGTCACGCAGGCAAGTGTGCAAGCTCTAATCTGTTAACATGGGAGCCGAAATAAAAACGGACACGCCACGCAGCCAGTGTGTCTCCGGCCAGCGCGCGCGGCGGCGCATCCGAGGATAAACGACTTCAAGCCGAATCTGTCCGAGCTCGTACGTCTCACACAATCAGAGTAAAAATACGGGATGTTTTACGGGGAAATACTAAAACGGGAAGACAGCGGGAAAAGAGCAAAAATACGTGAGAAACCCGGAAAAAACGGGAGGGTTGACAGCTATGTACAGTAATTTGTTGACCATCTTGGTTATGGGCAAGGGCTGATTTTTGTTTTGTTATGTCTTTTACTAAGTCGCTTTGGATAAAAGCGTCAGCTAAATGAGTAAATGTAAATGTCATTACCTGTGGCCTCAGGTGCATCTCTGAGAAAGTCCACAAAGTAGGAATCCACCCCAGGATCCACAACCACTCGTTCATCTTCCCCAAGTTCTTCTTCTACCAGCTTGGCCAGTGTGTAGTCAAACCAGGCCACATCCTCTGGGGCAGTAAACCGGTCAGCAATAACACGTTTGCATTCATGCTTCCACAGCCGTAGTAATACCTGGGCCAATATTTCATACACAGTTATGAGTAATGTGCAGGGTATTATTTAAAGAACAATGGAACCAAAATGCTTTCCTTGTCATTTGTTTCCATTTGTTAGTCCTTGAATGTCTGTATTCTTACTGTATTCATAGGCTACTAAAGTAGTCTGACAGTGTTTCTGCTGATGATTTTTTAAAAGAACAATGGCTCATTCACTTATAATTGCGTGGAATATTTTGTATTTGTAGGCTCTTCTCACAAAAAAATCTCTGCCTAATTCACAACACATGAATTTGTTCTTTTCGATTGCTAAACGACAGTGAGCACAACTGGAGCTAAATGTGCAAAACTCTAACTACAGTCTGCACTACCAACAGTCACCTGAGCACAACTCTTCACACATGGCTCAAAACAGACTCAGTGTGCACAACACTATGCACAACCCTCACTGAGATAACACACACTGTCACTCAGAGAGTGACACACACTGAGAGGAAAAACGTTAGCATCAAACACCAATACAGAAAATACAAACTTTTCATCTTTACAGTTTCAACAATTTCAGTGTCTTCATACAAAGTAATTATGTCTTCAAAGAAAAGAGTGACATTCATTCGTTTGATATATTTACATTTTTAGAATATAACAACTGAAAATTAGCAGTTTGCTTCAATAGTCTGCAGTAATTTACAGAATTACAGTAATGATAAAAAAGGTAGAAACTACAGTTTTCATCTGCACAGTTTCATCAATTTCAGTGTCTTCGTACAAAGTAATATTTTCTTCAAAGAAAAGAGTGACATTTATGTGATTTATTTACATTTTTAGAACATAACAATTCTTTAAGGTAAATTAAAATTAGCAGTTTGCTTCAATAGTCTGTAGCAATTTACAGAATTACAGTAATGAGAAAAAAGGTAGAAACTAAAAGTACACACTGTAATACTGTAACTGTAACCCTGCCTCTAGGCCAAACGTTTTCAGCCGTTCAGCTGAAATTGTTTGAAAAACAGCAGTGTGTGAAAGGCACAAGGCTGAAATTTATTCTGTTTTGAATGTGTGGTTCACAGTTTTGACAGCTGTGTGTTAGCATTTGAACAAAGTGTTGTAAATCCACAGTGTTGTGCAGGTTGTGGTTAAAGTCATGGGATAAAGTGTGTAGAGTTTTGAAAACTGTGTTCAAGCAATGAAAAACAAACTAGAGTTTGGTCCACATGAACTGCTGCCGTGCAGACTGCAGTTAGAGTTTTGCATATGTAGCTCCAGTTGTGCTCCACTGTCAATTAGCAATCGAAAAAAAACAAACAAACTGTAATCTCGTTCTAATGTTAGTTAATTTGGAGAATTGTAAATGAGCGGCTGTGTGCACAAGATTAGTTATTTGCATAAAACATGTCCAAGCCATTTTCTTATAAGGCTTTCCACACAACCTTTCCTTTAAGGCCTTTCGTCACTCTCGTCAAATACATGTGGCTCTCCACAGATGCGCTCTTACTAGATCCTTGAGTAATGCCAATTGTATAATTCTAAATGTAGCATGATGATGCTGTTGTCTGGCTCATGTCTCCCTAAGTGACTCTTAATTTGCTGCAGCTGTGAATAGTTCTGGGCAGTTAATTTTGAGCCAATCGCGAGGGCTACTGCAACTACTTAACAGGTATAATTCAGTTTCCGGCACTTCTCATTCATTTCTATGGTGTTCGCAAACAGTGACTGACTGTTGCACAACTCTGAAAGAAAAAAAAAAATATGTCAAGGCACACATGATCCAGGTTAGCCATTACACTTTGTCCAATGGTAGAGCCACGGACCCTATGTCAAAGCGCAATGACACAATCCTCAACAAACCTTTCTCCATCCCGGTGTGATGACTCTGATCTTAAACCAGATGGAACTTGATAATATTCTGATCAATCTGACATCTGGCCAATAATGCTGCCTGAATCATAATCATACACTATTTGTTCACTGGCCAGAGGAGAACTGGTCCCCCTACTGAACCTGGATTCTTTTTATAGGAGTTTTTATCTCCATTCTGCCACCTGATGGAGTTTTGGTTCCTTGCCTCTGTTTCCTTTTCCACCTTTGTTAATAAATAATTAATAATTAATTGCATTTATATAGTGCTTTTCTCTGCACTCAAATCGCTTTACATGGAAGGGGGGATCTCCTCAACCACCACCAATGTGCAGCATCCACCTGGATGATGCAACGGCAGCCATATTGCCCCAGAACGCCCACCTAACTATCACCTCTTCAAGCAGCAACCTAGTTTTCCAGAAGATCACCCATCGAGGTACTAACCAGGCTCAGCCCTGCTTAGCTTTAGTGGGCAACCAGTCTTGAGCTTTGTTGCCATTGGCTTGACTTGCTTAGTTGGGGACATTAAATAATTAATTTAATATTCAACAATAATTTTGATTTACCTGCATTGACACTATTATACAAGAACTGAACTGAGCTGAACCTGATATATATATATATATATATATATATATATATATATATATATATATATATATATATATATATATATATATATATATATATGGCTATATATCAATTAACTAAATTGAGCTATCTAAATAAATGTGACTTGACTGGATTCATGATTCTAGTTAAATCCATCTTCACTAACAAAACAACAACTATCAGCAGTCAGTTCTCTAATCTGCACACACAGGAACCTAGACCAACCACTCCCACAGCCAATAACCTTCTCTCCTCCTTCTCTCCACTAACCGAGGAAGAATTCAATTCAATTCAATTCAATCTTTATTTATATAGCGCCATTACAACACCCAGCAAGGTGCACAAAGCGCTTTCCATAAAATACATAAAAAGATAACAGTATATAAAAATTGCAAGATAAAGCTAATCAAAGCAGTTAACAAAATAACTAACACAACCACTAAAAACAAAACAAATGATTACGTGTTAAAAGCCTAAAAAAGAAGTTTCTAAATTACTCCTCTCCAGTCATCCTACCACCTGCCCTCTAGGCCACATCCCCTCACACCCTCTACAAGCCATCTCTCCCACACTTCTACCGGCTCTCACACACATTATCAACTCTTTCCTGAAAAAGGGCATTTTCCCTAGAGCATTTAAGCAGGCTCGGGTAACTCCACTGCTTAAAAAAATCAACGCTAAACACATCACTCTTAGAGAATTACAGACCTCTCTTTCCTACCATTCATTGGGAAAACACTTGAACGAGCTGCTTTCAACCAAGTATCATCCTTCCTGTCTCTGACCAACCAGCTGGATGTCCACCAGTCTGGCTTCAAGAAAGGGCATTCAACCAAGACCGCATTATTGTCAGTCACAGAAGCTCTGCGGATCGCAAAAGCTGCATCCAAATCATCAGTTCTCATTCTCCTGGACCTGTCTCCTGCCTTCGACACTGTGAACCATCAGATCCTTCTGTCCACCCTATCATCACTGGGCATCACTGGAACTTCCCTCAACTGGTTTGAGTCCTATCTCATAGATAGGTCCTTCAGGGTCACACGGGTACAAAGCACATCAACTGACCACTGGGGTTCCCCAGGGTTCAGTGCTTGGACCCCTCCTCTTCTCCATTTACACCACATCATTGGGACCCATCATACAGGCACATGGTTTCTCTTACCATTGCTATGCCGATGACACCCAGCTCTACCTCTCATTTCAACCAGGTGATCCCACACTAGCTGTACAGATCTCACGCTGTCTGGTGGATTTCTCAGCATTGATGAAGGAACATCACCTGCAGCTCAACCTGGCTAAGACTAAGCTTCTCGTCCTCCCTACCAATCCGTCTCTACAGCACGACTTCACTATCCAGCTAGAATCTTCCTCAATCACCCCATCAAGGTCGGTAAGAAATCTTGGAGAAATCTTTGATGACCAGCTGACCTTCTCAGACCACATTACAAACACAGCTCGATCATGCAGGTTTGCAATGCACAACATAAGGAAGATCAGGCCTTTCCTAACTGAGCAGGCGACACAGCTTCTTGTCCAGGCCCTGGTTATTTCTAGGCTTGATTACTGCAATGCTCTTCTGGCTGGACTTCCATTATGCACAAATAAACCTCTACAAATGATCCAGAATGCTGCTGCTCGTCTTGTCTTCAACGAGCCCAAAAGGGCCCATGTCACTCCTCTGTTCATCTCCCAGCATTGGCTGCCATTCGCTGCTCGCATCAAGTTCAAGGCGTTGACACTTGCTAACAGATCAACCACTGGCTCAGCTCCCTTCTACTTTCACTCACTCCTACGAGTCTACATCCCTACCAGAAGCCTACGATCGATCAATGAGCGACGGCTCGTGGTACCGTGGTGTCTGATGAATGACTTGGGCCTGAAACGTCACATGTGGTGAGCAACTATTAAATTTGCTTAGGAGCATTTTCTGGTGTGTGGACTTATTGTTTACTTTTGTGTTCACCATCACAAAGAGCCACAAAATCACTCTCCAGAACATTCTCATTCACGGTTCCATGCTGGTGGAATGATCTGCCCATCATCATCCGGAATGCAGAATCCCTGACAGCATTCAAAAGACAACTGAAAACTTATATCTTCCGTGAGCACTTAACATAAAAAAAGAAAAAAATATATTCTTTAAATCCTTACTTGCCTGGTTTATGCTACTCTGAGTAATGTTTGAACTTTGTATTTAGGGGGTTTAACCCAATCTTCCATCTATTTTTACCAAAATTATTTTTAAATAGGCTTTTAAAAGTGCTTTTACCAGAATTCGAAGCACTTCCATCTAGTTGACATTTTCGTAATAGTGAATCCCACAGAGACACAATTGGCAGCAATTGCCCCACTGTAAAATAGTCTAGAGATATGATATATGCCTGGTGTCCTGAAATTTTTCATACTTCAAACATACTTCTCCAATACCCTCCTCGGAGGCAATGAGCCTCCCTGTTCCGCCACATTGTTGGGTAGAGACTGGACCATACTCACTGGAATCAGCTGCACCCCGAAGCGGCAGAAAATAGCACCGAAAAATATTCTGAATATAGAATATTAATACAGGCATATAACTTCTTAGAGTTAGACAAGTATTTATCATTTAATTACTTAAAATTAAATGAAGCCAAGACCAACCAAACAAGTAAGCATGGTCTGGATGATAAGCTGAATTCTATATTAGAATAGTTCAATATACAAATAAAGAATAATTTGTTGCAAACACACATAGATCGCCAAAACGCCCACCCCACATCAGCTTATTGGTGGAGAGAAGACAGAGTGATGAACCCAATCAGTATATATGGGGATGATTAGGAGGCCATGATGATGGATAGAGGCCAATGGGCAAATTTGGCCAGGATGCCAAGGTTAAACTCCTACTCTTTTTTGAAGAACATTCTGGGATTTTTTTGGGACAACAGAGAGTCAGGAGTTCAGTTTAACGTCATCATCTGAAGGACAGGTTGGATGGATGTAATGAATGGATGGATGAATGAGTGGATGGCAATCAAAGTAATTAAATTGGTTACAATTTTCATCCCTTGATGTATGTAAATATGGTTTGTAAGTATGGTTAATATGGTAATAAGTGTCAAGTCAAGTCAAGTCACATTTATTTATATAGCGCTTTTCACAATACAGATTGTATCAAAGCAGCTTCACAGTGATAACATGAAAGTAGTAAAACACAGATCAATAATAGGCTATTGTTAAATATTAAATATTAAATAACCCCAACTAAGCAAGCCAAAAGGAAGGCAAAAGCAAGGCGACAGTGGCAAGGAACCAAAACTCCATCAGATTGGATGGAGAAAAAAAACCTTGGGAGTGTAATCATAGATTTCTGAAATTTCATTTACTTTTTCTTATTGTCTTAATATGAACAGAGATGTAGTTCTACTCACATCAGGCAAGTTGATGACCTCTGCAGTCACGCTGAGCATTCCCTGCCAGATGCGGGAGAGGTCACGCAGGTTAAAAATGTAGTGAAAGTTGGCAGGAGTGGGCAGCATTTTAACCTTTGTCATTTGCCATAGTCTTCGGGTCAGTGAAACCAGCCTGACCACTGTGTTCCGTACTTCCTCAGAAAATCCCCGACGAGAACAGTAATGGCCTGTGCCTATCACCCCTGCAGCAGGAAACAATATACATTGCAAATAAAAAGTGAATGAGAAAGGGTTGATCTATAGCAGACAGAAAACTCACAAAGGTGAAGGACAGAATGAGCAAATGTGACCTTTCTGAATAATAGAATACTCAGTTGAATTACAATCACAGTTGTTACAAATGACAATATTACACACGTATTGAGGGGTGTATGCTAACCTAGGAGCATGATATATCATTTCAATAGAAAAAAGATCTGTCTATAAAAAGATTCAGACATTCAGACGAGCAGGAAAATGTCCATAGTCACTATCAATATGCATATATTCAGAATCGGTTCTGCTTAAGCAACGCTGTTGACAACCGTGACCAAATTAAATGAAATGTGATCATTTCTCTGAGCAAAGAAGCATGGTCCAGATACTTTGTGTTTCTGCCTTTCATAATGCAAGTTAAATGCACAATTTGACTGATTCTGTTAAAATACTGTATATCCATGCCATTAAAAATAAAAATCTCATTGGATTATTACAATATTTGCAAAAGGAAAATTGGGAAATGTGAAATCGATATTAGCCACTGTCAAACAAAAGGTGCAAAAGGTCCATTGTCTATTGTCAATAGTGTATATACATGATGCACAGCTCACACAGAAGTTACTTTCAAACCAGGCAGCTTTCTGTTGGTCAACGCGGTGAATTTGTGGGACCAATTTGAACCCATTGAGAAATATGTGTGGGGAAATATTTAACCTCTCATGCAAAATTTCTGATCTCCTGAATTTCTATTGAAATGGCTATATGCGACTGCACCTTAAAGCAAAAGATATAAAACACTGTCTTAAGACAAATGTTCATTCATGTCCTACAGCCCCATTACTAGAGTTATGGAAGAACTAAAGGAAGGGGGAAAAAAATTCACTTAATTACGAATATGGCAGCAAAAGACTGCTATATCAGTTTGCTCGGAAATGTTGCAGTGTGCTAAATACTGATAAATAAAGACTCAAATTGTTACTGCCTCAAATAGACTTTTTAGGTTTTGAATCTATGGTAGTAAAGTAATTTATTTTTACTATTTTGTAAATGGTAGACTTCAATACCAACCAAATATCTTGTCTATGGAGGCATTGGAAGGAAGAGTACAGTTGAAAATAGAAAACTGCCTCTTCAGCCTCTGGGGGACATCATTTCGTCCCCCTCCAGGGTGGATCATAGCTGCCAAGAACTGGACATCCACAATGTTGGTGAACTCTCCTGGTTTCTCCAGGTTAAAGAAGCCATTTTGCTCCATCAGCTGCCGAACTATTTCATTGGTGACCTTTGAAGAGATGAAATGGATTCTGTGAATATATTGCTTTGTTCAGACTTTGCAAACAGAGAGTCCACATAGAGAGAGTAGATGTAAAGGAATTATGCAAATAAAACATATGGATTTATGATCACAGTTTATTGGATCATAATTTGATTAATGACTGATGACATGTCTAAGAGAAAATGCACATAACTGTATCCTTTAAACAAATAATGTGTACCACCTGCTTTATGAGGTGGGGTTTGGAATGTCATACATTTTACAATGCAAGTAATTATGCATTTTGGGAACAATTACCTTAATTCCCACAGAATGGAGGGTGTTTGTACCGAAAAGAAAGACTTGATTTAAAAAAAAAGTGGATTGTGGGTGGTTAGTGAAAAGGATGCAGGTGTTTGCCCCGTGCCTGTGCTTCTTAGGTCTGAGACTTGACCTTATAAGACAAAGGTACACATAAGTAGTGATTCTTAAGACAACATTTATGATCTATCTTACCTGGTCACCCCACTCATTGATCACAGGCATGTTGATGTCGTCAATAAAGATGGACATTTTCTTCCCTGCCGGAGGGCCGTAAGTGGTTCCCATTCGTTTATCTACATAACTCTCCACAGAGCGCTAAAAGTCACAGGCATCGAAACAACCATATAAATGCTGATTACTCACAAACAAATCCAGCAACTCATAAATTAAGAAGCTCAGATGAGATTTGGATCAATAACACAGCAGTCAATAATGAAGCAGGGAATGTGATGAAACATTAACCAGGCTAAACAAACTTTAACACCTGAGCCTGGGGATTGCAAAGCATATTGATGCATTTAAGGGTTAAGGGTTTCTAACATTTGCCCAAACACTTAAGAAACGTGTAAATACAATACAATGGTGTGTATATGAATGTATTTCACACCACCATTCAAAGGTTTGGGCTCGGGTTAGAATTATTGCAGGTAAAAAAGAAAATCGAAATTTATAGATAACCTTGTATGAAAATACCATATGAAAAGTTAATGCAGGATTTAAAATGTTTTAAAACAACATAAGGGCACTAATTTAGAAGATAAAGTGAGCGTTTCTTGGACTGCTTGTAAAAACGGCTTTTCTTTCAACATCGCGTCATTTGACGTCATATCAGGGAGCCTCAGCCTCGGCTCAGTGGAGAGCAGGCTGGTGTTCAGTGAGAGCGCTCGTCAGTCAGTGTGCTTTCGTTAGTTTTTGCATTTTAATTTATCATCGTCATGGTAAATTATTGTGTTTGTGGAGATTGCAAAAACTCCAGCCTGTCAGGACTTCAAGATCGAGTCCACAAGTTTCCATTACAATAAAAGTGACGGTGCTATATAGCCTATCTTTCGTTCCTGGTGCGGTTTGAGCAGGTGAAGAGACCGGATTTCTCTTCTGCATCGGCTCGGAAAACGCGGTCGTGTGTAGCGTTCACTTCAGATCAAATGACTATAGCATCCCGGCGATATGATGGAGTTCAACATCATGGTATGCCGAAGCAAGAATATTGATCGTCGTATACTACCAATGGCATCAAATAGTGGTATATAGGTAACTTAGTCATGTCATGCCCTAAATAGAACTTATAATTGAAAAACAAAATTGGTTGTTTAAATATTCAAATCTTTAATGTTCTGTTTGTTATAACCTAGGTGAAAAATATGTATTAAAAATTTACCTGAGTATAGCCTATGCTTTTAGAATAGAAATATACTCAAGTAAGTTTTTATACATTTAATAGTATATAAATCTACCCTAAACATACTAATGTCTGCTGGCCTGTTATAGGATCATAATAATCTGTACAATATTGTGAGCAGAGTGTATATCGTTAGCGAACGTGTATAGCCTATAAGCACGTCTCTCACCTAAAAGGCACCTGTCCTGTTCTCCACTGGTTCTCCTCACATCACAGCTCAATTTTTCTCTGACCATTCTGTCTGACATTATCCTGGCCTGTCCCTGATCTCTTTAGCATAGCAGGCTCATAACTTTATGGCTTGATCCGTCATACGAGTATTTCCTCAGCGTCCGAAATGTCATGCGATTCATTGTTTTCCTGTTGTGTGAATCAACGGCTCTCCCGCTCATTGCGTCACGCCCGCCACGCCCATTTTCAGACGCGGAAGTAAAATTCTCTCACAAAAAACGACTGCAGAAGCTTCTGTAGTGTGTTTATACGTATATTTTAAAGAAAATCTAGTTCCTACATTGTTTTTCTATGCATTGACTCGTTGGGTCCTCTAACCTGCAATATGCCCTTTCAGTTTTTAATAAATATTTTACCAAGGCTTTCACCAAGGCTACATTTATTTGGTCAAAAATTCAGTAAAAGAGAAATTTAGTGAATTATCATTACAATTCAAATAGCTGTTTTCCATTTTGATATGTTTAAACAACAATTTTTCAGCAGCCATTACTCTGGTCTTTGGTGCTGCATGATCCTTCAGAAATCATTCTTAAATGTTGATTGAGTGCTTAGGTGTCATTTCTAATTATTATCACAGTTTAAAATGGTTGTATTATAATTAATATTTTTGTGTAAACTTTGTTACTTTTTTCTGGATAAATTGATTAAATAAGTAAAAAAAGAAACAGCATTTATTTGAAACAGAATTTGTTTTGTAACAATTTAAATGGTTCAAAGTCACTTATGATCAATTTAACGCATCCTTGCATTAACTATTAATTTTCTACCATTTTCTTTTGTACACAGTAATGTGCTTCAACACTTTTAAGAGTATCGTGCATATAACATACACTGCACACAGAAATCTAAGGATGCATATGACATAGACGGCCTTATAGGAGAGTTTGAGTGTGTGTGTGTGTGTGTGTGTTATTTCCTCCCCAAAAGATTTATATTTTTGCATTACAACACAGTAATAAAGTATTGCCAGACTTCATAGTAAGTGTAACCAAAATACATGTTTTGGGGAAAAAAAAAAAAAACACTTAATGTACCTGAAACATAAGAGGTGTGGTGGCAGAGGAGAAATTGAGACTCTTGGCAGTGTGGGATTCTGGGTCATATTTGGACATGTAGCCTTTGATGATGACAGTTTTGGCAGTGCCCTGTTCTCCTATCAAAAGCACAGCCTGAAACACATGAAGAAAACACGAGTAGACTCCAGAGAGGGCGACCATCTGTCCTTGTGCAAGGCTAATCATAGTGCTGGCAGCACAGGAAAAGTCTTGATGACAAACAAAGTAGCTGTCCATTTAAACAAGCCTCACTTAGACAAATCAATAATGCACTGCATGGTGTCATTGTCTATAACCTACTACACTATAGAATACAATCTACAAACTATTGAGTGTTTTTATCAGATCGAGAGGGTTTGGTAACACTTTATAATAACTGCATGCTATCAATCATTTGTTAAGCATGAGTAAGAAGTTAATTAAAAATTTATAAAGCATTAACAGACATTAATAAGCAGTTTATAAATACAGCTATAAATGTTTTTTTTTCTTGATTCATAAGCATATCTATAATGCGTTTAATAATTGTATTTGCATACTTTGTTAATGATCAATTCATAATTTCTAAATGAACTATAGCTTTATTTACAAACCATTTATTTAAGAGTTGTCAGACATTCATAAGATCACTTAGAAAGTATGTAGTAAATACAGTTATAAAGCATTTAGTAGTGGTCAGTTAACTATTTTGTGAGCTCATATGGTAACACTTTACAATAAGGTTCATTAGTTAACATTAGTTAATGTATTTACTAACATGCACTAACCATGAGCAATACATTAGTTACTGCATTTGTTAATCTTTGTTAATGTTAGTTCATGAAAATACAGCTGTTCATCATTTGTTCATGTTAGTTCACGGGGCATTAACTAATGTTAGCAAGATTTTAATCAAGTATTAGTAAATGTTGAAAATAACATTAACAAAGATTAACAAATGCTGTATATGTGCTATTCATTATTAGTTCATATTAACTAATGCAGTTAACTAATGTTAACTAACGAACCTTATTGTAAAGTGTTACCGCTCATATAAAGTGAGGACAATTCATGCCTTGTAAAGCATTTATAAATGAGATTTAAAGGCGCATCAATCTTCTAAACAGTAAAATGTAACAAACACAACACAGTGATACAGAACATAGAAATATTTAAAAGCCTTTAAATCTCCTTTATAAATGCTTTACAAGGCATGAATAGTCCTCACTTTAGATGAGCTCACAAACATAGTTAACTGACCACTACTAAATGCTTTATAACTACCCAAATTAACCCTAAATTACAGCATAAAAACATGTTAATAAAGCATTTAACACACTAAGCTACCGTCACTATATGTCTGAATAATAAGATGTATGATTGTACATTTAAATAGTTTATTAATCATTTACTTACATGTTCTAACCACTGAAAACTCTTAAATAACTGTTTTATAAAAAAAATGCAATTCTTCATTTAGAAAATGATTAATTAATTGTTAATAAAGGATGAAAAAGGATTGCTTTTAAACCAAGAAGAAAGCATTTATAGCTGTATTTATAAACTGCTTATTAATGTCTATTAGTGCTTTATGAATTATGAATAAACTTTTTGCTCATGCATTATCAGCGTGTAGTTATTATAAAGTGTTACCGAGGATTTTATAATACAATCTACAATTGAATTCCAATTTACAAAGACAGATAACATTATTCCACCAAAACAGTGTTTGTTCTTGTCTCAGAGCCAGTGCTCGATGGATGTTCGGTCAGGCTTCTGTGGACCCTTGTGTTTAAACTGTCAAGGGAATTGAATAATTCCATAATAACTATGTACTGTAAACTAACAAACATAGCACTTTGCAGTCTTGCCAGTTTTGAGAACATATTATATACATACGTATATATATGACAATATTAATAATGTAACAGGCAGATAAATGTACAGCCTGATCATTAAATCGAAACAGGTTATATATATATATATATATATATATATATATAATTCAAAAGAGTGAAAAGGCTCTCACCTTTCCCTGCTTTGCAATGGTCTGGATGAGGAAGTCAGTGCGAACATTGTCTACGTTGGGCACCAATATGGAGCCATACTCTGGTGTAGAGTCAGGTGGGTAAATATACTCTTCCACTCTGGTATTCCAGTGAACCCAATGGCCTACAAAACAAACAGTTTTCATTGTTAATACTGTGAATAGCATCTTGCAAGAACCCTTTATTAAAATTCCATAATGAACTTCCAATCTGTTCTATAATTAAATAGGGTTATTAACCCTGGTTCTGACTCACAAGTGGAGTTTTCCAATTTAAGGGCTAGGGAACTTGCTGCTAATTAGGCATCTATTTGAATTGCAAAGTGTACAGTATTTTGCAACAAAACTTCTAAGGACACTTATAAACCAGAGACTTTTGGGTCTAAGCTATTTTGTTTCAAGCTTCAGCTGTGAAAAGAAGTCAACCTAGAATATACTCAGATTTGTCTTGAGGCTTATAGACTTATAGACTTACAGACTACAAATACACTATTCTCCATAAACATGCAAGTTCTCCTCTCAATAGGAAAAATGTCATAGAAATTCTATAGACTGCTGCTTGAATTGTACTGACAGAAAGAGTAATTTCCCAGCATGCTCTTGTTCAGAAGAAAAAAACTTCTTAACAGTCAGTCTCCCTAAACAGCTTTTCTTCATTTACCAATTGGAAAACCTGACAAGTTGAAAAGATTCAAACAATTATAATAAATCGAAGATTTATATGTAAACTGAACCATAGACAAAGGCAGATAAAAATGAAGCAATCTTAACACAGAATGAGGCGTGTGACTGTGTTAGATACCATCATTAGTGACGTAAAAGTCGAACATAGTGTCCTCGCTGTGGGGAGGGATGTTGGGAAGGTCTAGGCAGATGTTGTCATGGTGACGGAGCCATTGCTCCATCTTCATTCGATCATCCAGTTCCAATAGGGCTCCCACACTCCACATCAGAGAGAAGACATACAGTCGTTCCATGTGCTCACGAGACAGCTCCCCTCCCTGCTCCTGATGGGTTAAATCATTAAAAACACCATCAAAGATCTGTCAGAGCATGAAGGCCTGATAAAATTCTTATTTTTGCACTCATGAAACCAGAGAAAAGATATTATGCATTATCAGATATGCAAATAATAATAATAATCTAATCCATTATTGTGAACTTGTGAAAATGTATATCCATGACTGACCACTAAATATGTTTTGATAACTTTTAAGAATAATATGCATGATACTTTTTGTCAAATTTCAGATTAGGTTAATCTGTTGTAAAATGTTCCATATGTACTAGATTGGATATGCATTCATAAAAAAAAAGTTCATATAATATTTAGTCTGTTTAACAGTGTCAGAAAATAAACTGCTAGAAGCTACAAAATCTGGGTTAATGAGGACGACAGCTATTGAAAACAATTGTGTTTTTTAAAGGTATGGTTAAAATATTAAATAATAATGCAAATCTACCTTACAAGTCTATCCGGATTATCAGCACATTCAGATACAGTACACTACCATTCAAAGGTTTAGAGTGAAATTAAATATAATGTTGTGAAATATCCTCAATTAACATTTCTTATTATTATCAGTATTGAAATAAGTTGTTACAGAGTTACAGTTGGTTTGAAACTGATCTTTTTTCAGAATAATTTGATAAATAGGAAGTACAAAACAACAGCATTTATTTAAAACATAAATCTTTTTAAGAATCTTACTATCACTTTTGATCAATTTAATGTGTCCTTCTGGAATAAAAGTACTAATTTCTTAAGTAAGTAAGTAAGTAAGTAAGTAAGTAAGTAAGTAAGAAAGTAAGAAAGAAAGAAAGAAAGAAAGAAAGAAAGAAAGAAAGAAAGAAAGAAAGAAAGAAAGAAAGAAAGAAAGAAAGAAGAAAGAAAGAAAGAAAGAAAGAAAGAAAGAAAGAAAGAAAGAAAGAAAGAAAGAAGGAAAGAAGGAAAGAAGGAAAGAAGGAAAGAAGGAAAGAAAGAAAGAAAGAAAGAAAGAAAGAAAGAAAGAAAGAAAGAAAGAAAGAAAGAAAGAAAGAAAACGACTGCACCAGTGATAAGAATATACGCATGAATGTTTCTTTTCAGTTCCAGCCTGTTAATATCCTTCAACATCCAATGACACTGGATGTGTCAATTACATAATCATTTGCAGGTTGTATTGTTGGTGCTCTATACACACTGTGTATGAAAGAATTACATCAAGCCCAAAGTGCTTTTGAAGGTTATAGGTCCTTTTTTTTACAGAGCTAGTGGGTGTAATGCATATTTGGCTCATGTTTAATTCTCATAGAATGATAGTGTGGTTACAATAGGGCTGTATAATGTGTATCTCAAAGCTAAATGCGAGTTATAATGTGTGACATTTACTGGGGACAGTTCATCCTAATCATATTCATGACTTTCAGATAAGGGGAAAATCTGCATGGGTTGAATGTCAAGAAGAAATGTATTGAGTAAACCGGTCAGGACTTCAGTATACGTTTAATCATTCATAGACTGACTTAAGCTTATTCTGCATATATTAATGAGCCTATACATTTTATTTTCTTCAGCTGATCAACGAGCATGTCAAGATTAATCAAATCTCACTGCATTAAATGTAGCGAAAGTGTATTATTTTGCTATAGCAATTGTCAAATCACCCTTTCACTAGTACACAGTTTCAGGTGTCAGACATGTTATAGTGCTGTCAGAAATCATTGCTAATTCCTATAATGCATTTTAATAAGATTTGAAAACATCCACAATGCACCAATGAATCTCTTTAAATGAAATCTTGTATATGGAGACATTATTTTTACTATCTATATCACCACTGCCCTCTTCAGTGCACAAACGTGCTTGTTCATTGCTCTCTCAGGGAGAGGACTGCATCACATACACTATATAGGAGGAACAGCTTATGAGGGGATAGGGGAAAAATGTTATACATGCATAATGGACTGTATGTGCACTAATGCATAAAGCAGGGGTGTTCAGTTAAAGTTCCAAGAGGTCTACTCTCTGTATTTCCATAATACTACAATAATTTTTGGGAATTGTTATACATTTCCAAGTGAACAGCAGTAGTAGTGGTTGGCCTCTGCTGATTCAGCAGCCAATGAGATTGGCTGCTCAACATTTGCTCACCACCGTATCTTCGGTACTGTTGATAAAATAACCACGTCACCTGGAACGTACTTCACACTTGTTATGTCTTTAGTGTGAGAGACAAGCCACAAGCAAATTGGCTAAAGAAGTGCGTCTGGGCCTATGTAAAATAATTTGATATAGCGCTAGATATAAATGCCCCTGAACACTTGTGGTGTGTTGTTTTTACTCACTGCTAACTTAAATTGTAGAAAGGTTAGGAAGCTGACAGCGGCCCTGGTTTACAGTGTATGTACTAACAACTGTGCTACTCTGTTTTTTTAATGACAGAAGCTGAAGTTTAAAGGGTTAGTTCACCCAAAAATGAAAATTCTGTCAGTATTTACTCACCCTCATGTTGTTCCAACCCCGTAAGACCTTCGTTCATCTTCGGAACACAAATTAAGATATTTAGACTGGCTCTTGCTGTCCCCGAAAAGTCATTAAAGACATCGTTAAAATAGTCCAAGTGACTACAGGGGCTCAATCTTAAGTTTATCAAACGACGAGAACACTTTTGTGCGCAAAAAAACAACAAAAATAACGACCTTATTTCAACTATTCACTTCCTTCTCCATGGGCCTGTAGTCAGTTAATGTAGTGTGATTGCGTAAAGCTACGTCACACGTAGGCTCACTATTGGCCGACGCTGGTCATGTGTGTGTGATGCGTGTGACGTACAATAACAGAAGCTTACGCTATTAAACTAGTAACCTGACTCGCGCAGAGGGAGAAATAAACGAATAGTTGAAATAAAGTCGTTATTTTTGTTGTTTTTTTGCGCACAAAAGTGTTCTCGTCGTTTGATAATCTTAAGATTGAGCCCCTGTAGTCACTTGGACTATTTTAAGAGCCAGTCCCTCAAGAATCCTATGGACTGTATGCAGGAGCGATCTTAACATCTTAAATATCTTAATTTGTGTTCCGAAGATTAACGAAGGTCTTACGGGGTTGGAACAACATGAGGGTGAGTAAATACTGACATAATTTTCATTTTTGGGTGAACTAACCCTTTAAAACCCTTATTTTTGGATTGACATGTTAGTAAGCAGTCTTTCACTGTTGCAAAATCTGTAATAAGAACTACAACCTTGGGCTGAATGAGTCCTTGCAGCATGTTTATGCACTGCATGATGATGAAGGCCTCCAGCATGTCCATCTTATACTGCAAAGATTGAATGCTGAACCGATAGAGCTCAGGGAAGGAGGACGAAAAGAGATCCCTCAGGACCACCCCTTCCTGAGGGGAGCGATTCTTCAGCCAGCCCTGCACACACAAACACACAAGTGAAAAAAACCTGTAAGGAAGGACATACTGAAATTAAATGAACTATCCTTTCGAGCTAAAAATAGTTTATCATTCTTCTCTGTCTTTCTCTGGCTCTCCTTCATTTACTCTTCATGCATTGAACAGTTGAACTCTTTGAAGTCTGTTAAAAAGACAGAGAGAAATGGCTCGGGGATTTAATGGCTCGTTTCCACTGAGGGGTGCGGTACGGTACGGGACAGTACAGTACGGGTCGGGTCGGGTACACCGTGATCAGGCTTGCATTTCCACCGCCAACAGTACCCTTACTTGATAGGCGTGGTATGCTGGAAAGAAGCGATCGACGTCATTTTCGCGCGAAGAAAGCGACATAGTAAACAACAATGGATGACAGACAGCAGATCTTGTTCTTGCATCTCGGCATGTTTGTCACTAGAAACAAGCGCTGGCATTAGGCGTTTCCAAGAAGCCAACGCAAAGTCCGACTCAGGAGAATGATCCCGAGCGCGTTCTTCAACGCGGCACTCAGCTCGCTCTGGCTCTGCGACTCCGGTTATCTCTGTATGTTCATTTTAGGCAACAATAAAACGAAATGTGTAATAAAACACCACTCTGCTTCTTTTCGATTTCATTTCAATACATTTTAAACATTCTAAAGCACATACATGTGGTTCAGGCAACGCATAGCCTATTTATTATCACTGCATGTATGTAACATTATATATTTATAACAAAACTATATAAAACAACCCTGCCTCTTCTCGTTTAAATTTTTAAATATTAAACATATTCCAGGCAATATGTAATGTAATGTATTGCATATCGCATGCATTGGTACAAATGTTGCAATAAAGAACATTACAGACGATCTTGTAAAAAAAAAAAAAAAAAAGACAAAACTATCTCTTTTTGTTGAATTTCAGTTTTATCAATAGCCATTATAAAAGTATACGTAAAAGGTACAAAATACAGTAAAGCTGAAATAACATCAAGAAACAATTCAGTCAGTGAAATATACAAATTCAACGCTCAAAGATATGAAACTTCACGTAGCCTTCTGCCAAAACTATTGGCCAGGGAACGAATTATAGATCCACGAGACTAAAGATCACCTGTTAGGTTTATACAAGACGAACTATATCTCATGTTTAACCACTACAGACAGAGACGTCCACGTCAGCGGCAAACATGAGGATGACTAGCCGAGGAAAGGCTGTTCCAGGCGGGGGACACGAGCGCGAGCGTCCGGTGATCGCTTGGAATGGATCTCAGTCAAATTATGAAACATCTATAAATAAACCACAGATTTGATCTTTAAAAAAACTACTTTCTCGCCTGAAAAACTCTTAAAACTACATTTCGTGACACAATAACAGTAGAATTATATTTCAACTGTATGCTTAATGCCCTTGTAGCACGCGCGAGTGACGATACTCTGTCCACCAATCAGCGTTCTAGTACCCTTTCACTGTGCTAGGTACCCGGGTACCCAAAAAAGTGGTACGGTACGGTTCGGCTTTTTGGTACCATTCACAACTTTTGACCGTGGAAACGCAAATAATTGCGTACCGAACCGAACTGTACCGTACCGTACCACTCAGTGGAAACGAGCCATTAGACTTCAGAGTGGACTTAAAGAAATAACTACTGGTTTCTACAATCGAGGTTCAGTGGAGGCCTTTTCTTTCACTTTTATTATGCACATTTGGAGGGAAATATTGTAGATTGTAAGTGTTCTTAAATTTCTACAAACTTGATTAATATACTAAATTTATGTTACCCAAAAAGGAAAATGTGTCCATAATTTATAAACAATCATGTTGTTCCAACCCATAAGACTTTCTTTCAACTTCTGTGCCTTACTCCCCCCCAAATTTTAAAGGAAAAGTCCACCCAAAAATTTAAATTCTGTCATTAATTACACACCCTCACCCTCTTCGGAACACAATTAGAGATGTTTTCGATGAAATCTGAGAGATTTCTGTCCCTCCATTGACAACTGTCACTTTGATGCTTAAAAAATAGGTCGTAAAACGAATTCATATGAATTCAGTGAAAGAGACACAATCACTTTATATGATGAAGAGATTGAATTTATGCTTTTAATAACATAAACATTCATCAACTCTCACATCAGTTGTGATAAATGGAAAGTCAAGCATGTTTGCTTGACGTGCGAGAATCAATGAGGTTCATTTTCGTGTTACGCAGCATGTTTGACTTCCTCAAGAAACAATGAGGGCCATTCTCGGGTGTTATGAGGCACGTTTGAGCTTCGGCAAGAACCAATGAGGTCCATTCTTGTGTGTTATGAGGCACGTTTGAGCTTCCGCAAGAACCAATGAGGTCCATTCTCGTGGGTTATGAGGCACGTTTGAGCTTCGGCAAGAACCAATGAAGTCAATTCTCGTGGGTTATGAGGCATGTTTGAGCTTCGGCAAGAACCAATGAGGTCCATTCTCGTGGGTTATGAGGCATGTTTGAGTTTCCGCAAGAACCAATGAGGTCCATTCTTATGTGTTATGAGGCACGTTTGAGCTTCCGCAAAGACCAATGAGTTTTTTGTCTTGAGCATCAATCAGGTTCAGTTGAGCTTTTGTTTATGTTTGCTGATCAATGTGTAAATGTGGATAAAGCCTAAATTAAATGTTTCTTATCATATAAAGCCATCAAGTCTCTTCAGAAAATTCGGACTAAACAGCCTGACTTATATTGATTAGTTTTATAATCTCTTTATGAACTTTTTGAAGCGTCAAAGTGGTAGTTGCGTAGCTCTCAATGGATAGAACAGAAAGCTCTCAGATTTCATCAAAAATATCTTCAATTGTGTTCTGAAGATAAGTGAAAGTCTTATGGGTTTGAAAAGAAATTATTTAATTTTTAGGTGAACTAACACTTAAACGCTTCAAAAAGTTCATAAAGACCAAGTTTTCTGAAGAGGCATTCACCGTTATACACCTTTAAACTTTTAAGGTTTTCCTTGTGGTATCCTTTGTCATATTTTGACATTATGTACGAATATTAGAGCAAGCAATAATGATATTTAAGAGCTATGGCAAATTTTCAGAGAATTATTCTAAAGTTTGGTCTGTTCCTCATACAAAGCTATGATTGCATTCAGAAGACCATAGTCCACTCATGAATGATGCTTTTATGATTTTTTTAGAGATTGACAGCCCCCTAGTCTTGAGATAGAGCATAATATGTCCTTCTTGTTCCATGAAAGGAAGAATATTTGAACAATGGAGTGAGTAATGATATCATTTTCCTTTTTGGGTGAACTATTTCTGTAGATTTCATGGAAGCAAGCATTCGGTTACACTTTATTGTACAGTGCCATTGTTACATGTTACATGAAGTTACTATAGTAATAACTATAAATTATTTATTAGTACATGCAGCTAACCCTAAACCGAACCAATTACTTAAATTGGTAACACTTCATTTTGTTAGTCCACTTTAGACATACTTACTTTAAGTAACTTTGGACTACATGTCAACTACCAGTCATTAGAGTATTAGTAGACAGTCTGCTTAATATCTGCAAACACTATTTTGATGGTCCCCCAAAATACACTCTACTGCTGAATATAAGAAACTTGGCAAGTACATGTCAACATATTCTACTAACACAAACCTAACAGTTTACTAATACTATAAAATTACTTAAATGATCTAAATATTGAATACTCAATAATAGTATTATTCAGTACCAATTTGTTATCACCCACCTCCAAAATAGGGCTCCAATTAAGGACAGAAGAGCTCATAAACACCATTCCATTACGGGACACTGTGGCCGGGGAGGCGTTATCGATGTTGTGTGGCTCAAACACAATCTTGCAATTGGGGGCCATGGGGATGCGGTCACCATTGGCCAATGTCAGTGTACGGTTATCATCCAGGACTGAGTTCAGGTTTTCAATCCATATAGCATCAACTGGCCCATCAAGAACAATCCATATGTGTTCCCCTAAACACAAACCAAGAAGTACAAATGAATTTAAATTAGATACAGCTACAATTGCATAATGTTGTGGCCTCCATCAATCATTATGATCAATGACTGACATTTGACATTTTATGGCTGATTGCTTGGCCCATTAGTGTCAAATACCCTGTTTGATGGATGTACTTGTTCATTGATTTAAAAAAACTGAGTCGATAGGTTTCAACATGTTGTTTCCATTTAAATGAAACATTCTCTTTCATGTGTTATAAATCTCATCAGCTTTCTTACACAACTGACCAGACAAAAAAAGCCCTGAGGGGTTCTGCTGGCATATATTAAAACATTTGCTCCCCCAAAAGTAGATGTGTTTTTTTTAAACATTTTAGACCAGACATGCTAAGAATGTTTAATAGTTTTAATGTTCAGTGCAATATACTTTAAAGTTACTTTGATACGGGCAATCGTTTCAGGAAAACAGTTTTAGGAGCTGAAAAAAACTGGGTAACACTTAATTTTGCAGTGTCCTTGTTACTTGTTACATGTATTATATTAATAACAGTAAATTATTAATACATGTAATTACATTCTACTAATTCTAAACCAAACCCTAATCCGAACCATAACCATATAGTAAGTAAATGTTGTTATTTATTTTTACTTACATCCTTGATTCACTGCCCTGCTACACCTCGAAATAAATTCTTTTGGAATGAACATTTTGAAAATATTAATTGGAGATTGATTTGGACCTATTCTAATAAATACTGTATAAATAACAAAGTATACAAAATATATTTTAAAATTATACATAAAATTTACCCAACAAATGAGTTCCTAAAAAGATATAAAAATGACCTTTCTGAACTCTGTACATTTTGTAAAAAGGATACTGAAACTGTTTTACATCTTTTCTTTGAATGTATGTTTGTGAGGTTTTTTTGGATTGATGTGGAATATTTATTTAATATGTTAAGTGGAGTAAAAATCTGCATTGGTAAAAGAGATGTTTTTTTTATTATGGTAAAAAAGATATAAACAAGAGTCTAATTTTATGTTAAATTTGATTTTATTTCTTGGTAAATTTTACATACATAAATGTAAATGGTATGGAAGGACACCTAACATTTGCCACTTTAAAGCTGACTTGAAAATTTACTTTGAAACACTGAAAGGTCTCTCAAATCGCAAAGCAACCAGAACGATTGACATCTTCAAAGAATTGAACTCCTCTTATTTAATGTAATTATATATGTATACTGTATACCTACCTCCTTTATGTTGTGTTATGTTTCTTTTTTTATTTTTATTTTTATATGTAATTCTAATGTTCTTTAATTTCATTGATAAGAATGTTAACTTTAATGTTTTATATTGCATGATGCGTTGGAATAATTTGGAAAATATATATAAAAAAAATAAAAAATAAATAAATAAATTTATTTGTACTCAGTAGTTATTTGTAATCGTACCCAAAAGCTTCTACTGCTCATGCATATTCTATACACTTGTTTAACAGGTGATCTACCTTTCTTTGCTCTGAGTGTTTTCCTCCAAAGAGTGGAAAAGATTCCATCAGTCCAGTCATTGGTTGCCACATCGAGTCGACCAAACATTTGAGGTGCAGTAATAGCTTTAGGGTTCATCCGCATCTCTCTGTGAGGTTCGCCACAATCTAAACATGCATTTACAGTGTAAGTTGCATATACATTAAAAATGTTTACTATTTACATCACTATTCTCATCACCAATGAAAGGGACCCTGTCCACATAACATAATGGCCTAGTTATTGTGGCTGATGTCTAATTCTCACCAGTCATGGCCTTCATAAGTGTATGGATGCAAGTTGTTTTTCCTGCTCCGCTGGGTCCTAGTGCCATCATACCATGACGAACTCTTTGAGTCTCATATAGCTGAATGATCTTTAACCTCCATGGTGGGTGATTGATAAGACCAGCCTCAGTTACCTAGTAGATTAACAAAGATTTTGGAAATGATTTTTGATTTTGATTCCTAATCCTCAACCTAACAAATGTTTTATTATATATATATGTTTTATTTATTATAGTTTATTATTGTTTATTAAACGTAACAAATGTTTTATTTATTATAGTATTATATATGATTATTTTTTTTCCAACCTGTTTGTCTATGGCTGATTCCAGATTAGGGTATCCAGCTTTATCCAACTGAATTCCAGGGAAAAGATCTTCAATCAAACTGAGGAACAATGGCTCATCCTCATCAATCTTAAAGGGCAGAGACAAGTGTCATGTGAATGTTATGACAGATGCTTTTAGAAAGGAATTCTGACATTCAACCACAAACTGATATGAGAGAGAATATATAATCAAATAAGTGTCATGTTTATATGTTCATGAGGTGTCATGTGAATGTCAGTCATATGAGAAAACTCTGTGTGTATGTGCGCTGGTATTCTTACCAGTTTGGACAGGTTCATGTCTCGCAGAACTCTCATGACAATAGTAGACTCTGTGTCATTGGGATTGGCCCGTTTTGCGGCACCAAGAGTACGCAGGACGGACAAAATATTGCGCAGGCCAAAGTCATAGTGAACCTAGAAAAAAAAAAAGTCATACATTTACATTTACTAATAAAGTTATAAAGGTTCTAAAGGTTTTTTGAGTACTATTGAAGGAGCCAATGTAATTGGCATGCGTGATTCGCATCACACACTCCGCCCCTGTGCGCTGTTATAAATACAGAAGTGGATGCACTAGTTGCCTTTCGCTTCAGAGCCTTTGTATTGATGTCACTGAAGAGTGCTGTTGATTTCAACGAGCGAGTGTGTTAGTGCTCTTTTGGAAAGACTCTCCCAATGCTGGTGATTTCTACAGTGCAGTACAACGGTGGTCGCAAGCTTTGAGCTCTCAGCTGCTGTTTTAAGAGCAAAAGCAGGTATTTGTGTTTGTGTGTTTGACGGCTGGTCTCTGAATTCACCGTTGCCGCGGTCATTCCTGTGTGCTCTGGCACTGGTGACAGGTCCCATTTTTGAAAGAGCAACAAGGGGGCGTTTGCGTCTTTTAAATAAAATTAAAAAAAAAGATGTCATTCCACCTGTGCCGTTCCCTTTTCCTCTCTGACGGTCACAATAGTTGCATCAGGTGTTTGAGCAATATATTTATGTGTATGAACTAGTGCTGTCAAACGATTAAAATATTTAATCGCGATTAATCGCATTAATGTCATAGTTAACTCGCGATTAATCGCACATTTTTATCTATTCTAAATGTCTCTTGATTTCTTTTTGTTACAAATTTTTTTTTCTCATTTTAATGCTCTTATCAATATGGAAAAGTGGAAAAATTATTATTGAAAATAACATTGGAATAGTGTTCAATTTCACACTAACATATATAAATAATCTCTCACACAATGTAACACTGTCTATCAATAAAAGGGTGAAAGAAATACTGACGAGGCCCTAATATTGGCGAGGGGGTGGATAATTCGTATCATCTGTGTGTGTGTGTGTGTGTTTGCTTGGCCATCATCAAGTGGTATTTCAGACTGGACGTGCTGCGATGATGATCGCTCAGTTCACAACGACAAAACACACAGATCGCTTGGTCTTGTCAATGGGACAATATGGCAACTTTTTAAAAGTAAACTTTCCATTCAGAATCTTAGGGCATCCATTTCGGCGTCTCGCGCTCGTCATCCACTCAACACGTAACGTTACTATTTGGCCGGCTCGCAAGCCGAAACGAGTGTGTGCGGCACAAAACGTCCTCGCGCTGCGCTCTGAACCCATTCATTTCAATGGCTTGTGCCGCGCGAGGATGTTTTGTTGCTTCTTTGACCAAAGCGCAAGCGAATCTAGACCGTAAACAAAACAACAGGCACGCCGCAAACACATGTTTCGTCTTGCGAGCCGGCTTTGAGTGGATGACGAGTCGCGTCGCCAAAATGGATTAGGACGCATGCCGCGTCCTGTTGCAAAAGCATGTGAAAAAACTACAAAGTTTCCTAGGACAAAAAGACCGTTAATCGCGCGATAAAAAAATTAACGGCGTTAAAATGGGTTTGCGTTAATGCCGTTAATAACGCGTTAAACTGACAGCCCTAGTATAAACGTATATGTTCGGCATGCTAAGGCAGCTTTTGTGGATGGCTCATGTTCTCATTGCGGGGAATATGACTATTGCGGTGTCGTCTTCGTTCGCAAAGTGCGAGTCTCCATTACCATGCCCCACCCCCGGGTGCCACATGGGATGGGTTATTGGAGGATAGTGATGGATGTCTTGCCCGCTAACCATTCACTGTCGGCTCCTCACTCCTCCATAACACCGCAGCCGATGGAATTCCTGTTGAGCATGCTGGTCCCTCTGTAATGGACCGACCAGCAGTTTCAATGGGAGTTCCCCCAGATGGCAGCATCGGAGGGTGATCTGGCCTCTGAAGATGACGACTCGGCTGTCCCGTTCACTCTCGGTTGTAGGATTAGTATCTTGGGGCGGGCCGCGCTGGTTCTCAGCTCGCCGCCCCAGAGCTTTTCTTATCCGAAATGCATGGAGAGCTTATCAGGTGGTAAAGGGTACTTTCTCTGCCAAAAACTGCCTGAATAGCTTTTCCCCCTCACTACCCTTGGTTGAGGAGCGGTGAAGGGCTGCGAGGTGTTCCTCCATTGGAGCAGTCTGTCATGACACAGGTGCACCTGTGTCTGGCGGCCGCTGCCTTTTGGGGTGAACCGGCCGCAGCCTCCACCCAGGCCTCAGCAAGAAGCCGGCCACAGTAGAGACGCCCAGCCCGCTCCTGGCGCTGCCAAGCCAGGTGGCAAGCGACAGCGAGAACATTCCGGAGCGGGCTGCCCAGGATGGACGAGGATGCTCTTGGAGTTGGTCATCGATCCACTCCTTCCCCCCAGGTGAGTGCCGGGTGGAGTCTTTGTTTGGTGTGGGTGTTCTGTTTCACTGCCAGTGTTGTGCCTGAATGCGTTCAATGAACGATAGTTCATGAACGCTTTCATATTTTAGGCGAACGTGAACTGAACCTACTGTATTACTGTCTAATGAACTTTACTGTGAACGCGCTCATTCTGGTGTCTGTGAACGCACGCTATCTCAGTTTAACTTCATACAATAGGGTGCCAGATTTGTATAGGGTGCCTTCCAGGCGAAAACCCGGCTAAAGCACACGTAAACAGGCCTTAATATGTAGCGAAAAAACACACTGGCAACACCAGCATCTGGCAACACCAGCCAGCAGTGTCACGCCGCGGCCGCCGTCGACAATCCAGCCAGCGAGGAGGTGTCGTATGATCATTTAAAGGATTTTATGACGAGGTCGGTGAGGATGGGAAAAATCTTACATTTCTGTGCAAACTGCCCATCAATAAAAAAATTGTTGTCTGTGATTGTATATGGGCTGTGGCAATAATAATAATAATAATAAAAAGCTTGCAAAATATGGAGAAAAAAAAGAACTATAAATGAACTAGTTCATTTTTTGAAGTATGAACTATGAACTGAACTAGTTAATTTTAAAATGTGTGAACTGAACTTTGAACTAGTTCATGTAGAAAGTGAACTTTCCCAACACCGTTCACTGCTTTGCTCCCAAAAGTGTGGAGCAAGCGGTACCCACACCTCAAAGAAAGAGCAAATTACTCTGTTCCTGGGACCCAAGTGGGGAAGTCTGGCGGTGTATGACCCTGTAAAGCCTTGCACCCCTCAGTCCCCTCTTGATTGCCAGCACAGCAGCTGGGTGCGGTTCGAGGACCCGGCCATCTGCCTTCTCACGCATCCCTGGCCGTCTCATGGAGACAGGTAAGTGTCATGCATCACACTCAGACCCTGCTTCGGGCCACCTCCGGGCCTTCCGAATCGGGTCCCTGTCCTCCACTTTGCTGCCCCACCACAGGTACAAAAGACTGTTGGGTTTGATGGCAGCAGCGTCCAGCGTGATAACTTTTGGCCAGCTGCACATGAGGCCTTTGTAGTGGTGGCTCAGAACCAAAGGGTTTTGCCTGAGGGGCAACCCCTTTCGCATGATCAAGGTTACGCGGAGATGGTTACGTGCCCTGGTTATGTGGAAGAAACCTTGGTTCCTGTCCCAGGGTCCCGTGCTGGGTGCTTCTTCTTGTCGCAGGATGCAAGGATGTTATTCTTCTTGTCGCAGGATAACAACAGATGCAACCCTCACGGGCTGGGGAGTGATCTTAGAGGGACGCTCGGCTCGAGGTCTATGGGGGGACCATCACCTTTCCTGGCATATCAATCGCCTGGAGATGATGGCCATTTTTCTTGCTCTCAAGTATTTCCTCCAAGACCTCAGGGGCCACCATGTGTTGGTCCACACAGACAACGCATCGGTGGTCGCCTATATAAACCATGAAGGGGGTTTGCGTTCACTGTGTCAAACTAGCGCACCAAATCCTCTTGTGGACCCAGGGCAAGCTGCTTTCACTTAGAGCAGCTTATATCCCAGGAGCCCAGAACGTAGGAGCAGACATCCTATCGAGACAGGGGCCGAGGGCCAGGGAATGGTGGCTCCACCCCGAGGTGGTGGAGCTGATATGGAGGTAGAACTCTGGTTCTCCTTCACCCATCCAGCTCTTCTCGAACTGGATGCGATGGTACAGAAGTGGCTGAAATTACGTTTGTATGCGTTTCCCCCGATCTCTCTGCTCCCGGGAGTTTTGGAGAGAGTTCACGGGGACTATCTACGCCTGCTTCTTATAGCCCCGCGGTGGCCGGGCAGAGTTTGGTTTGCAGATCTAGTGTCTCTCCTCAACAGGCCTCCTATGGAGCTTTCCGTCAGAAGGGACCCGTTGTCCCAAGCAGGAGGCTCGATATTTCATCCTCGTCCCGAACTGTGGAACCTGTGGGCTTGGCCTCTGAGGGGGCCCAGCTCATAGGGTCAGGTCTCTCGACCGAGGTTGTGAAGACCATTCTATAATCCAGAGCTCCCTTCATGAGGAAACTTTATGCTTTAAAATGGAGAGTTTTCAATTCTTGGTGCAGTAACCATCAGTTGAACCTAGTTAACTGCCCGGTCGGTTCAGTGCTAGAGTTTCTGCAAGACCAGTTCACTGCAGGTATATCTCCGTCCACGTTGAAAGTCTATGTGGTGGCCATAGGTGCTTACCACATTCCTTTGGGTAGAATGTCTGTGGGAAAAGAAATGTTGGTATTTTGTTTTCTTTGTGGCACTTTGAGGCTGAGCCCTGCTGAACGCACTAGCGTTCCGACTTGGGACCTGATGATTGTCCTCCAAGGCATTTCCCAGGCTCCCTTCGAACCCCTGGAGGAGGTTCCAGACAGTTTTCTTACTCTAAAAACTCTGTTCCTCCTTGCCATTTCGTCTCTTAAAATAATTCAGGCTCTGTCGGTTGTACCCTCGTGCTTGGAATTTGCACATGGCATGGTCAAAGCATTCTTTCATCCTAGACCAGGTTATGTTCCGAAGGTCCCCACTAATGTGGCCCGATTTATAGTGCTGCAGGCCTTCTGTCCTCCTCCATTCCAGGATGCAGACCAGGAGAGGCACAATTTGCTGTGCCCGGTTAGGGCTTTGGATGCTTACGACCACAGAGGGTCTCCTGCATCTAAGCAAAGAATTAGTAAGTGGGTGGTCGAGGCTATCTTACTTGCTTTTGAGTCAACCTGGCAGCCTTCCCCTTAGCCTGTTTGGTCTCACTCTACTAGGAGTATCGTGGTCTCTAAGGCCTTTTTATTTAGGAGATCCGTTACAAGACGTTTGTAATGGTCCTCACACATTCATTAGGTTTTATGCTCTGGACTTGGAATCTTCTCCAGGGTCCCGAGTGCTCTCATCCTAGTGCTGCTCGCCTGATTTCAAACTGGACAGGAACTTCTCGCTATGGGGGCATTGGTATAGACATTCCCTTAGCGTCATTCGAAAGGGAAGGGGAACGCCTCAGTTACGACTGTAACTTCGGTTCCCTGAAGAGGGAACGAGACGTTGCGTCACCTGCCCTATCTCTTACGTCCCTGTAAGCGACTTGTTCAGACCTTACGAAGCTGTCGCGGCTGGGTTTAAACCGGCTTATATAGTTTCCTGGTTCATGACGTCACCTGCCTCTGACGTCCCGTCACGCCATTGGACTGATTTTACATGTGCTTCAATACATCATCACGCAAAGTGTTCCCTTAGCGTCATTCGGTGCAACGTCTCGTTCCCTCTTCAGGGAACCGAGGTTACAGTCGTAACCGAGGCGTTTGTTATATTTATTTGCTTAGTCAGTGTCTTCTTTGGGTTTTGTTTCATTTGCTGTTGTCAGATTTAAGTATCTTTGAAACAACTAAAATCATTTGGCGATGAAGGTCATATGAAACTATAATGCGTCCAAGACCTGCCTGGAACTACCATAGCTATGGGTTTACTGTAAAAATAATTGCACACTTTAGAACATTCGTCAACCGATCAGAATCAAGCATTCACCCCCCCATAGTGTAATACATACAGGTAATATTTAGTTATTTAGCAACAATTTACTGTTCTTTTCTGTAAATCTAGTTTACAATAAGCAGAGAAGAACTTACTGGAAAATCGGAATATGTGATTATTAAGTATATATATATACATAGGCCTATATAATGTAGTACACTGTTACTAATGATAGTCACCTGTTTAGAGAGCTGCTCCTCACACAGTTTGTACAGAGTGAAGAATTTCCTGGCCAGCTCGATATTGTCAATGAAGCCACAGCTTGCCAGTTTCACTCTGATAATGATCTGCCTGTCAGGAACCATCATCGCCACTGAGCGGAAGTTAATTTTCAGATTCTCTGGAAGTTCCTGTCTCCCTGCGTATCCAGGATTCTGTATGGAAAAAAAGAGAAGATAACAACCTTCTGTATTGTATATATTACGGTTAGACTGAAAGTTTAACCTTTCATTTCATTGGGTCTTTAAACCCAGTTTAGTCAGATTTCCAAAGTCCTTAAGAAATATCTATAAACAACTGAATTCGTAATATGTTCCATTTGTTTCATATAGTATGAAAAAATAAGCAAACTTTAACATTGCATCACATTGTACTGTGCCCTCATCTGCCCCTATTAATGATACAATTCATGGTAACATGGATTTAGTGGTTTGTTGCTTTAATAAAGTGGAAAATTTTATTGCTGGAAACAGCAGTATGATAAAAAAAACAGATAAATACACAGATACACTTGGCAATTGTAACTTGGCTCATTAATATATAATTCAGTTGATGTAGAGTCACATGTGTGTGTATAGTGAGAGAATGTGCAAACCACTCCAATAAATGTATCTCTACCTTTTATGAGTTATTAGTTCATAAATGTTAAAGAAACTTTTAAATCTCTGTGAGATGTGTGACATTTCACAGAAGACATGATGCACCAGCTTACCATTGTGAGGAAGATACCAAACTCAGGGTTCATCTCTACATTATCACCATCAGTAAAGATAAAGTTCTTCCGCCGTTCTTTCTTGCAGGTGAGCACAATGGCGATTTGTTGAGCCGCCACTGAGAGCACCGGCAGGTCAATGCGGTTAAACTCATCAAAACATCCCCAGGAGCCAGACTGAGCGAGACCTAAAGGCAGATTTTTTTAAAAATTATTTTAAATATAATAAAATAAATTCATCCCCAAGTATGCAAAAAACAAAAAAACGAACACTCTGATGAAATGACAAAGCATTAGTTATGTTCATTTCACACATGATATCATACAGATATTGCTTGTGTATGGGTAATAAACTAGGGATGATTGCTTACAGATTTCAAATGTATTGTCATTATGATTATATTACATGAATATGCTTTCATTTAATTAGCAAGAATAAAAGTAACATTTGTTTTTATAATGTGCACCTTTGAATATTCTGCCCAAGCCTCTGAAGTCCATCTGGTCAGAGCAGTTGAATACCACCACATATTTGCCCAGGCAGCGGCCCATGTCCTTAGTGGTTTCCGTCTTTCCTGTTCCTGCTGGCCCGGCTGGAGCTCCACCCATGCTCATTCCCAGAGCTTGAGCTAAAGTAATGTAGCATCTAGGAAATAGATTGAAATGACTTTGAAGAGATGATTTAAGGCAATAAAAAGTAACATCTTCACTGCAAAGGAAACATTTCTTAATTATTATGTTTGTGTGTTGTCCAGTAAAAAAAAAAAAGAAGCAAAAATCTGAATATTTATAACTCAGGATGCATCTCTAATTAATTATCTACTGTTTTTGCATTTAGCATACATACAAATGATTTAATTAATTATTTAAATTAAAATAAATGCTAATGTATCCAAATATGTTTAGACATCTTTATGGAAAAGCAATACAAAATAGGAAAATGCAGTGTGTACGAAAGTAATAAACATGTAATAAATGTTATATGTGCATTTTGCTTATATGGCTATTTTAGGACCATTAAAAAAAAAAAAAATATATATATATATATATATATATATATATATATATATATTTAAAGTTGTTATACATTTGTAAGAAATTAAAGTTGTACATACAGTACATTTCTTTACAGTTGTTATACATAAAGTTGTTATGCAGCCGTTTTTTGTTGATAACTTCATACATATTTTTTAGTGATGATAATCTAAAATGAATCATCATTTTAAATAATTCCAATTATAAAACATCCAGACAGTAATTAAAATGTGGGGAACATATGCTAAGTATCATGAAAGCAAATAAAGAGTCACACAAAAAAAACACATTGGTTTTAATCTTCATTTTCCTTATGCACAATATAATTTCATATGGCTGTCATTTTTATTATTTTGTTCTGAGCAGAATTTATAATTGTGTGGTCTATGAAAAATCACATCTGATTTGTAATTAAACATAAATTTCGGCACAGTGTGAACATAGAGGTAAACAAGCTTGTATTTGCAGCAGCACCTGTCAGTGAGAGGAGTGATGACCAGCCTGTCAGTGCAGCCTAGAAACTCATTTTGATAAATGAAAGCCACATCAGTGATGTTGATCATCATCTTATCCGTGTCCTCGTTGAAATAAAAACGGCATTGTTTCAGCCATTCAAAGTCTGTGGGGCTTTTGATGTGCAAACGACACTGTGTGAGAAGAACAGAAAACAGTTTTTCCTGGGTGGTTATCTTTTGGAGCTGTCTCAAAGGGACACACACAAATGCTTACTAATATCTGAGGGTTGTGACATACTCAGTAATTTGTCATTCAGTCATGAGATATCAAAACATCCAACCTTGCCAGTTGACATAACCCCACCAGAAGTGACTGCAATGGTAATTTCGCAGTCTGCATTAGCTAAATTGCCTATTCTAGAGCTTTTAAAATTGAAGATAATCAAGTTCTAAAATTCTAAAATATGGAACTCAAAAATGCTCAGACTGAGCATATAGCATTGTAAACTGTAAATAAACTGGATGAATATATTCTGGGACTCACCAAATCATCAAAGATGTCCCTCTGGTGTACGTGAATGGTGATTAAGGTTTCATACTTTGTCCGTTCAACAGCTCCAAGGTCTTTTGTGGTCATGTCAATTAAATTGTTGAGGAGCTCAAGAAAAAAATGGTTGGTTTTAGCCATGATCTTACGGTCATATCTGGCATTGCTCAATGCATCCTCAGAATCTTTGGTCCAGATCATCTGGATTCCTAGTAAACCAACCTTAAACCACAGAAGCCAATAGTCCCGTTAATATACTATACCATTTTTTCAAATTGACTTTATAAATTGTATCACTGTCATTATTTAGATACCTGTGCAGGAAAGGAGTCCAAAAATTCAATCAACTCAAAACCAGAGTCTTGAATGGCAAGTGCAGCCTGACGGATGACAAGGTGCAAAGACCTCTGGGATTCTTTTAGCAGTGCATTAAGCCAGACCTCCACATTGCCCTCTGCTATGACAGGCCTGTCCAGCTCAACTGTCTCACCCTCTCGTGATGATATTGCCAAAACCTTATCATACATCTATAAGCAAACCCAGTGTTGGTTATTTATGAAAAGCAGATATTTTCAAGCAAATGTATACTTTCCTAACATTCCTCAAAATCCTGATGGATTATATTTGATACTCACATTTTAAGATGATGTTTCTCAAAAAATGATGTATGGATAATCAACTAAGCCTAAGTTGCTCAAAGAAGTGTTTATCTTACTAACAATATAAAAGGTACTCTTATTTACTTTATGAAAATGTGTATAGATTTCACAGATTTCACAGCAAAAAGAGATGTGTACCACAACATTGTCACAATGGGCTTTATGCACGGCGTTATTTCCGGTGAAGATGTAAGGATGCTCGATAACTTCCGCCGATCGTAGAGTCCAATGCAATACCGAGCATTTATATTGAATTTTATACTCCATGGTTATAATAAAGAAACGTTAGTCACAAAAACAGATAAAACAGACACCCCTCGTTGTGTTTATGCTTCTTTTTAAAATTATATTAAATAAACATAACTATATATAAAATTAGATCTAAACGTATGTACGTTTCGTTTAAAAGATGGGAGGACAGTCAATTTTGAAGACTCTGCCGGAACCGGAAATGGACGAGCATCCTTGCGTCAAATGCAGAACTTATGCGTATATATAGCCCATTGCCTTGTTAGTTTTTCACTTTCACTTTTCAAATCATCAGTTTTATGTTTTCCTTTGTTCAGATTTCCAGCCACTCTTTAGTTGTCATGGTTGCTGATTATTACAAGTCGTTCTGTTCAGCTGTCCATCATTAATCACCCTTGTTTGCCCTACTATTTAAGTTGCTGTGTTTTCAGCTCTCATTTGTCTGGTCATAATAATGCTTAGGTTGTGTCTGCCTTGTTGACTCGTGTGGATTATTAAAGACTTTCTGAACCTTATCTTCTTCTTTATCATGTGATCTCTATAACCCAGCGTGACAGACATGAAGAGGGATGCTTTAAGAATAAGAAAGCAGGCTTTCTAGGTTAAAGTAATGATCACCTTTTCATGGAAGTGGACACATTTGATGTTGTCAAAGATATTAAGCAGGTGAGCCTGGATGGTGTGGGAGTCAGATGCTTGGCCCAAAATCTCCAGCAATGCAGGATCCGATACAAAGAAGAACCGTGGAAACAGCAATCGCTTTTTCTCCAGATACCTGTAAAAGCAGAAGACAAGCTAAAAATTGGCAGCACTATGAATTAGATCCACTTTAACCTAACAAAAATAGCAATTTATTTCAAAATTGATTTAAAAACGTATATTTCAGAATAGTTTTTTCAACTCAAACTGTGAAAACATAAAAGTTCCATCTTGCAATAGAAACTGGTTATAAAACTGCTGAATCAAGGACTAGACTGAAAAACAGATAAGTGTTATGTACCCTGTGAGAGATTTTTGACACATCTCTAGCTGTTCCAGCAGGTGAGGCAGTAGCTGACCCATAGTCTCATCTCCCACACACGACTGGACTACATTGGGCATCTCATGAGCTCGAGTCATGATTTTAACCCACGATTTATCGATGTTGGAGAAGCGCTTTGCCTCCTAAAAGAGAAGGTTTCACTTGAATTTAAGATTTCACATTACATATTTAGCTCCAGGGAAACAAGAAACACCTATGGTATCTGGAATTTCACAAAACAAAAGCTTCAGCAAAATCTGTGTTATTTAACACAACAAAACAAAACAAACAGAAGACTAGTTCTAAAATTGAGATTCTAAAAATTAAACATCTTATTATCATATAGCATGTTATGATATGATTATTTAAATCATAAAGTACAATTTTAACTATGTAATTATTCAATTTTTTTTGGTAACACTTTATAATAAGGCCTCATTTAGCATTAGTTTTCTCTTTTTTCCCCCATCGTTTCTTCACTTTCAATAAAATGGCCAAAAAAGTGTCAATGTGTGGGAGTGAGACTGAATTACTGATATTACCTTTGGCAGCTGTTTGGCTATGTCTCCACCAACAAAAACAGCCTCAAGGTAAATCCAGAGGTTTTGTACAGTCATCCAGTTCTCAATGATATCTGTTGTATTGGAGAGGTTCTGAACCCACTTCTGGATCTGGGCTTTGAAAGGTGTGTTGTATCTACAGAGATATAAGGCACAAGGTCAGGAATATTAAAGGATAAATTAAATAATTGTCCCGAATCATTCCATTTGTTTTCCTATACCAATTATAAATTTACTATATATATACACTCTAAAAAATGCTGGGTTGTTTTAACCCAACTTTGGGTCAAATATGGACTAACCCAGCCGTTGGGTTAAATTTTTACATTACATTTTTAACCCAACATTTCGGGTTTGTCCATATTTGACCCAAAATTGGGTTAAAACAACCCAGCATTTTTTAGAGTGTATATATATACACACACACACATTTAAATGTAAAACCACAATTCAACACGACCAATTTGCCAAATTCATGAGTGAAACCTGTTTTTCTCCGAAATAAGTCAATAACACTCGAATATTAGAATATAAATAAACTGCAACTGCACGGACAGTAGAATTTTCCAGAGAAATTAATGGACTCTATGCACGGCGGTATTTCCAGTGAAGGATTAAGGATGCTCGATAACTTCCGCCGATCGTAGAGTCCAATGCAATACAGAGAATTTATATTGAATTTTATACTCCATGGTTATAATAAAGAAACGTTAGTCACAAAAACAGATAAAACAGACACCCCTTGTGTTTAAGCTTCTTTTTAAAATTATATTAAATAAACATAACTATATAAAAAATTACATCTAAACGTATGTACGTTTCGTTTCCAAGTCGGGAGGACAGTAAATTTTGAAGACTCTGGCATAATCCCGTTTTCCTCGGTTCTCCTCCGCTTTAATCTCCACAACCGGAAATGGACGAGCATAAATGCGGAATTTATGCGTGCATATAGCCCATTGTTGACCTATTTGGCTCACCTGTTGCTCATAAGTGAACCAAGCACCATCAGGCTGTCCTCCATGTTAGTAATGATCTCAGACGTACTGTCTCCTCTCAGAAGGAGCTCGCCTCTGGTTTTAAACTGGGCAAAGGTAAAGGTCTTGTTGTCCCATTCTGCAATTACTTGCTTGAGTTTCTGCTCGATGTCACGCTCCTTCACAGCACTGATACAGATATCCTGCTCAAATGTGTTGTTACAAATATAATGGATTATTTACAAAGTCTTTAAAAAGTGGAGAACTTTAAGGCCAAAATTGCAATCTAATCTCTATTTATGTCTATGGAATTACAAACTAATTCTGACCTCTATTTCTTCTTTGTACTTCAGCAGTGGGGCTTCCATGATGTTGCGAAGCTTGAAGTTATCAGTCTCGACCTCAAAGGTGTGACTTGTAACCTCAGTAATTCTCTTCCAGTGGCGTGTCATCATTGCTTTGTTGGTCATTAGATCCAGCAAGGGGCAGCACTCACTAAATTCGTCAATAGTTTTTTTCAGGTCAAGAAATGCCTGCCACTCTTTAAGGGCCCTCGGCAGCTTACGGCACCTACAAAATAAGAACATTTAAAGGTGTGAAATTTAAAGTTCATTGTGTCTGATTTCACATTTAAAGAAATGTATAGTTAGCTTTGAACATTTTTTGTCCACTATTACAGTAAATTAACATTGGGTGACAGCATATTGTAAAGTAAATCTTACTGACTGCAAATGATGCTGGTGTAAACTATAAAGATGTCCATAATTATTATATTTAACTCAAGTAAATTGCATCAGACAGAAAACTCTCCATTAATCCTTTTATTCTGAAACAATTATTGCATTACACTGGTCCTTGCTCCAACACAGCTGACTTTAATTTCACTTCTTGACAGGCATGGAGAATGAATCTCTTTTCTGAGAAGCTTCTGCAATTACCAGAACAGACCAGCACAATTGAAATCCCCTGGTGCCTTCATGCTTTTCAATGTAACTTATTACATGACTGCCAGAGAGAGGGTCTTCAGAAATTTAGTTTGACTTCTGTACCCTTCTCACCTCGTCTGAAACTCAAGAAGTTCATTGTTGATTCTGTCAATGTGAATGTCGGCCCATGAGATGTCATAGTAACCGTTGACTGTGTCAATGACACTGTTGTAGAGTCCGTAGAGCTTTTGGAGAAGTGTCAACTGTTTCCTGATCTCAAGCAGCTGTGGATGCTGGGTAACAGATAGGCCAAAGAGCTCCTCCCCACCTGTGTATGTGATGTACTTGCGGAAGAGGTTGTCAAAGCGATTCTGTGAAACGGCAGATCATTTTAAAATAAATAATCAAACCAAGGATTACTTTATATGCATACATAAATTACATAACATTTACAGTATATGTAACCAATATCAAGTATATGTACTATGTAAGAAAAAAGAGAATATGGAGTGGTACCATGGACATTAAACTAGCTTATTTAAAGCAGTAAGTTAAAAACACACACAAAAAAAATTATACTGTCATGGTCACGGTCATGTTTAGTTTCTGAGTTCTAGGGCGAATTACAAATATTGTTTTTGCAACCTTGAAGGGTTCTTCTGGAACGGGACCCCTTTTGTAGGGGTGTTCCAAACGAAAGTAAACAACTGAATCCCTTCATGAAGGGTCTTTCAACAAGTCCGTTACTGAAAGGAACATGCGATGGTCACTTCAAGGAAGTAATTTAAAGGAGCTGTATGCAAAAAAATGATTTCAATTAATCATAACTTTTCCCTGATATGTCACTAGACATTGGGATGTTCATTTCAAATACTTATATCACTGACAACAGTAGTCCGGCCAGGATATTGTCATTTAAAAAGTTAAGTCGCAGCCCTTGACTAATGTTGATGTTGTTAAGTTGTGTTTTGTTCTGATTTGTCACCCTCCACCGATCTACCAATCACAGAGTCAGTAGTGTTACAGCATTCAGGTTGCCAGCTCTTCTCTAGTTACCACAGCTGCAGATACGAACATGTTGGAATCGGATAAAAAAAAAATTCTAACGTTGCGAAACCTCAAAAAAACTCGATATGAATCTGAAATACTTTGTTACAAAGTCCGAAATAAATAATTAACAGGAAAAAAAAGTCACTGTGTAGGACTCGTCACTTCCAATTGGAAGCGTCTTGTTGCAGCCTACATTCCTTCTGGAACCTGCAGTATATCTGGCAACCTCGAGTCATGGGCGAAGGCAGGGATACACCCTAATTTGAAAGTGATTGCAGTACCAGTTTTGGCCACAATCTTGCATACAGCTCCTTTAATCGTATATGTTCACGTGACTTTTAGGGTGAAGAATTTTCACAATTCATTTTAAATTTAGATATGGCGAAAGAGTTGGAGTCAGTGCTTTAAGTCGGCCGGTACGCCACTTCCAAATGTATCTCTTGAGCATACCGTCACCTCTACGTGCGCCCAGAACGTCTGCACATCTGTTTTAATCCTTTGGCTGCGTTGCCACTTTTCACAGTACCCTTCAAAATGCACGCTTCCTAATTCGTCCCACCGAGAGCAGAGACATTACCCATACACCCTTGAGTTTTACAAGTGTAAATCGCATGCGTCGCTTTTGCCGCTGTCAGTGTGTCAACTCAACGTGGTCCGGAGAGGGTGTGTGTAACGCGCAACCATAGCTGCTCGGTTAAAATACAAATTCAATGGACACTTGATATGTTCTCCTGGCTTCAGACTCTGAGTAGTAAAAGAACAAGGTCAGAATCAGAGGATTCGCTGGCTGACACACCACCAAGTCAGAATAATATTGTATATTTTTCAGGGGTAAAGAAATGAACCATCTTCAAGATTCATGTTTATGTTCTACAGTTCTATGG